AAACATAGATCCAAATCTAAAGATAAAGTGAAGTGTTTTCATTGTGATAAAACAGATCATATAAAGGGATATTGCAAAATCTTGAAGCAAAATAAAAAAGATGAGAAAGACAAGAGTTTAAATTATAATAATGTTACAACAATGAATTTAAATAGTGACTCAATTACTTTAATTTATACACATGGTGATTGTAATCATATTGATGATCTGAACATTAAGTGGATAGTTGACATAGGAGTAGCATATCATTATGTTCCTAAGAGGAATTATTTACAACTTACAAAGTAAGAGATTTCGGTTACACCAAAATAGAAAATAAAAGTGTGTCACAAATTGTTCGGATTGATGATATTATTATATAAACTAGTATAGGTTACATGTTAACTTTGAGGGATGTTAGATACACTCCGAATATAAGAATGAACTTGCTTGCTATTAATGTCCTTCATGATGAAGGATATGAGAGTCGACAAAAGAATGAGCAGTGGAAGCTTCTCAAAGGATCTATGATAGTTATAAAAGAAAAATTATGCTACATAATGTATAAGACATTGATGCAATTGAACAGTAACCAGACAAATACCATTAAGAATGATGCTTCAGCAAACTTATGGCACAAGAGGCTGGCACACATAAGCAAGAAAAGGTTACAGGTTTTGACAAAACAATCTCTCATTACCTTAACCGAGGGTATGTCTTTCAATTCATATGATTATTATTTGTTTGGCAAGCATTGTAGAATTTTTTTTCGTAAGAGTTATCAGAGAAAAGAAAACAAATTGGAATTGATTCATTCTGACGCATGTAGTTCCATTAAGGTTGAGTTATTGGGTAGTAACAGATATTTTATTACTTTTATTAATGATGCTTCACGTAAAACTTAAGTGTATATGTTGAAAAATAAAAGTCAAATATTGTAGTATTTTCAAAAATTTTATGCCATGGTAAAAAAGATGACAAGATTGCTTTTGAAATATATTCAGACAGATAATGGTAGAGAATACACATCCAAAGACTTTGAAAGGTACTATTCAAGCATGAGATCAAGCATAAGATGATAAAACTTGGAACATCGTAGCATAATGATGTAGCTGAAAGGATGAACTACACTATTATGAAAAAAATTAGATGTATGTTGAGGATGATAAAATTATCAAAGCCATTCTGGGGTGAAACAGTCAACATAGCTTGTTATTTGCTTAACAAATTCCCATCAATTCCTTTAGGCTTTGACATTCTAAAAAAAGTATAAAAAATAAAAGTTGTTTCGTACTTTCACTTGAAAGTTTTTAAGTGTAAAGCATTCATGCATATGCTAAAAAAGTAGAGATCAAAGCTTGATAGTAAAGTCACACAGTGTGTATCTGTAAGATATAGTGATGATAATGGTTATAAGGTATAGAATCTAGTAAAAAGAAAGACAATCAAAAGCAAAAATGTAATCTTTCATGAAAAAAAAAAACTATAGCAGACCTTGAAAAAAGGATAAGACGTATGGGTTATTGTTGAATGTGATGTTTCAACACCGATAGAGGTTCCACCAAAAAGAGTCACAGATGATAAAATTGAGCAAAAAATAAAACTTGAGGATATGAATAAGCCAGCCACAATTAGTGATGAGCCAAATGCAATTAGTTTTGAGCAAAGTTAGCAATCTTTTTTACTTGAAAACGTTGAGTAGGTGAGTAGTCTTCTCCACCAGAGAGTATTAAGCAAGGGGAATTACCTTTAGCATTAGGTGGTGTAGAGTTTCAACATAGGAGATCTATTAGAGAGTACAGGCCATCCATTAAGTATCCAAGTTTAAATTTTATTTTAGTTACCAGTGAAAAGGAGCCAGAGAGCTTTCAAGATATGCAGACTACTCCGGATAAAGAGCACTAACTAAAAGCAATGAAAAAAGATGTTGTCATTGCAAAAAAAAATAGTACATATGATCTTGTTAAACTTTTAAAATAGATAAAGCCATTGAAAAATAAATAAGTGTTCAAGCTGAAAAAGAATGATGATAAATTGGTAAGATACAAAGCTCGATTGGTGGTAAAATTTTTTTTTCAAAAACTTGACATTGATTTTGATGAGATCTTCTCTCTAGTTGTAAAGATAAGTTTCATTCGAGTTTTATTGAGATTAACAGCTAGTTTGAATCTTGAGCTTGAGTAACTTGATGTTAAGACTGTATTTTTACATAGTGACTTGCAGGAAAATATTTATATATATCAGCCAAAAAATTTTAAAGTAAAAGGAAAAGAGCATTTAATTTACAAACTAAAGAAAAACTTGTATGATTTGAAACAAGCTTCACGACAATAGTACAAAAAATTTAATTTTTTTTATGATAAGCCACAGCTATAAAAGAATAACAATGGATCCTTGTGTGTATGTCACAAAATTTTTTGATGGTAACTTCATTATTTTCTTATTATATGTTTATGATATATTGATTGTAGGAAAAGATGCTAGTATGGTTTGTAGGTTGAAAGAATAATTGTATAAGTCCTTTGACATTAAAGATTTAGGTCCAGTAAAGTAGATTTTCAGTATGGATATTATTCAAAATAGAAGAAAAAAAAAGCTGTAGTTGTCATAAAAAAAATGTTAAACGGGTGATTAGTAGATTCAACATGCAATATACTAAATCAGTTAACAATCCACTTGCCAACCATTTTCATCTGAATAAGAAATCTTGTTTGATAACTAAGAAAGAACAACTAGATGTATCTAGTATTCCTTATTCTTTTCTAGTTGGTTCTTTAATGTATCTTATAGTTTACACACGACCTGATATTGCTCATACAATTAATGTAGTGAGCAGGTTTTTTTCTAATCCGAGAAATATTCACCGGGAAGTACTAAAATGAATTTTTAGATATTTGAGGAGGCACCTAAAAAATGTGCTTAAATTATAAAGTTTCACAATCAATTCTAGAAAGGTTTACTAATACTAACTTGGTAGGTGATCTTAATGGTAGGAAATCTACTTTAAGGTATTTATTCACTTTTGCAAGGATGAGCTATTTTTTTATAGTCTAAGTTACAGAAGTGTGTTGCTTTGTCAACTATAAAGGCTGAGCATATTGCAGCAACCGTAGCAAGCAAAAAAATACTTTGGATGAAACATTTTTTTTCTTAAATTGAGGTTGAATCAAACAGAGTATGTAGTATTTTGTGATAACAAGAGTGTTTAGATTTGAATAAGAATGTTATGCATTATGCTAGAACAAAACACATTAATGTTAGATATAACTGGTTACGTTTGGTGATTGAGAAACAACAAATGCTTTTGAAGAAAGTCTATACTGATGAAAATGTAGCAGATATATTAACTAAGACACTTTTTTAAAAAAAATTTGAACTCTGCAGTAACTTTGCTAGAATGGATTCATTGACCAAAGTAAAATTTCAAATGAAACTGCTATGTAATGAATCTCCTCTTAATAGGGCTAAAGGGAGAGATTGTTAGGATATATGGGATCCAGCCCTATTGGTTTTGGCCAATTAAAAGGCCTAAAGCCTTTTTTTTTTTTTTTTTTTGTCTTTGACCTAAGAGAGCCCTACTTAAATAAAGCTTTAAACAATAAAAAGGGGCTATGTAATAAAGAAATAAAGGGTGGCGCCGAAACCAAGGGAAAAAAGAAAAGCTAGAAAAATAAAGAGAAAAAGAGAATGGAGAGTTGGTTGAATGAAAGTCGATCAATTATTTGATTGAGCTAAAATTTTATCAGTAAATTTATTATTCAAAGTTTTACATTTTAAAAAGTAGATATTGGGTTTGAAGCTCTTTAGGAACAAATCATAGGTGTATTTATTGAGTTACTATTTGATGAGATTTCTTCAATTGTCTCTCTAATTGTTGATTAGCTCTAATTTTAATTAGAGAAAAACTTTGTATATCCATTATTTGATAATGGAGATTTTTTTGGTAGTTCGTAATTTTTTTTCTCTACAGTAAAGTGTTTTTCAAATAAATCTTAATATGTTTTATTTTTTATATTTTTTTATTGTTGATTATTATCTATTATTATAGATTTATTGCGATATATTACTTTTGCATTGTTGTGTTTATTGTTTCAGGTCCAACACAACCAACTCTCAACTCTCAAAATTTATACTCTTTTTTTTTAATTCTTAGCCAAAGCTCCAACGTTTTCAAGATTTTAAGTTCCAGGTTCACGATATTAAAATAGAATTCCAATGCTGGAGGTAGCCAGTTAGAAAGTGAGCATGCTTTTTAGAAAGTAAAATGGAGAGCTGCAATTCTAAGTGAGGTTCAATTACTGTTAACATAAAATCCAAACCAGTTTACAAGGACTGCAATAGTTGTGAAAAGATTATAGACTGAGACTTGGTTGACAAAGTCTGGTAAGAATCTCATCTTTTGAGTTTTTCCCTTCCACAATGCAAAACTTGCCATTGCTGAGCTTATGGTTATAAACACTACTGCAAGGAGAATGGATAATTGCTGAAGTGCGACTCAATGAATCTGCCAGAAAAGCAAAAAAGAAAAGGAGGAAAGAAAGTGAGAATTAGATGCAAATAATATTAAAAAATACTTTGAAATACCGATTATCCAAGGAAGTCTGCAGACTAACTCATATGTGGCAACAAGACCGATGGAAGCATAACAAAGAGAACAAAAGAGAGTATCGCATAAGCACGCGAGTTCCACCATTGGATGCCAAATCATTCCTGTAAAATGTCCAAGTGTAGGGTTCCTCCAGACTGATTTCCTTAGAGGACCTCCCCTTGGAGAAAAATACAGCATCTGATTGAATCAATTTTGAATGCTGTATCAGCATCTGATTAAATTTACCACTTGTCTAGGCTAAAATTAATGTGATTTTGATTAATTGCAAAGGTGAATTTCCTCATCCAAGGCCGAGAGAGCTTTGACACAAATATATTCAGACACGATTCAGGTCAACTGGTGAAATATGTACCAACTCTTTTTACCTATTGCAAATCTAACTTAATTCAATTTGAATGGATGCAAAAGGCTAATATCTAAAATTCATGTTAATTTCAACTTGATTTGAACACAAATGATTAAAACTAAAACGGTTCCAACCCAAATCTGATACAAGTGAAATATAATAAAAACTTATCTAAATGCAAACAAATTGTTCTCGATGCTCATTCACCGCCCATGGCAATGCAGAAGTAGCCGCGTTGGAATGGAATTTCACAACCTGAACGATGTCGTTTTATCTTTTGTATACCTTTCTTTTCATATTTTTCATTGCATTATTCTCAAATAGTTTCCAGCCATCCGATCAAGACCACATGTTCAAACTTTCAGACTAAGAATCTCTGGTACAAGACGTCTGATTGGGTCAAAGAATCTGTTCGCTGTGAGTTGTCATGTCTGAAAGTACAACTGTACATGTGCTGCAGCAAAACCAAAATTGATTTCCTTTTTTATATTTTTTTTAGGATGATTCCATAGCAGGTTGTCTCGTGAATTCCTTGTCAGTTTTTCCATAAGCCGAAGTTTCAGGCCATACTTTTCTTCTATATCAGGTCAGTCTGCTATACATACATGTTAACATCTGACACTTTTTATTTTCTGTATATTTATACTGAATTTTCCATAAGATGAAAGAAATTTAGCAAATTTCAGGGTGTTTTTCATCCATCTGGTAGCCCGTCTGAATTCTGATGATAAAGAACAAATTTTGATTAAAAAATTGTGATTGTGCAAGTCAAAGGTTTGAGATTTAGATTTTGGGGTAGATTTTTTGATCTGGGTCAACTCCGTTTATCAAAAAAATTGATACTTAATGATCTTTGATCTTTGCATAGCTTCATGGCACTTATAAAATTATTTTGTTTTAGTTGCTTCAGCTTTGCAAATTTCTTACTGCGTCTTTTTTTGCTACAATTTTTAGCTCCAATAACTGCAAAATCTAGATCGCCCGTCATATGGTTTTGAATTCAATTTAGAATTACACTTTAAGACCTGCTGCATAGGAGTTTCTCACCGTGCAGCACAGTTCTGGAATTGATTGAGAGTTCAATTTGGATATTAGAATGGCTTCAAGTGATAATGGCAATGAGAAAGAGCAAATCGAAGAATCCAATGACACTAAAACAAAGGGACAAATTCCTCTTCTCATTTCATCATCCCAAAGGATGCTACTAAACGGTGAAAACCCTCAAAGAAGGTCCCTTAGCAGCTTCACGTCTCCTCCAAATAGGATAAAGTTTCTGAAATTTGGTTCTGCATCTGCCAAATTCAAGCGTTTAGCTGAAGCAAGAGATGAGGTTTCTCGATTGGTGGCTTCTTCAAGTGGTCATGGTTTACGAGAACGCCTGACTGGGGTTTTTGCGAAAAAAATTGATTTGGTTTCTCTCATGAAAATGTTTAAGGAATGGATTAGGGACCCAATGAATATGGCCCTTTTTGTATGGATCATGTGCGTTGCTATCTCGGGTGCTATTCTGTTTCTTGTCATGACTGGAATGCTGAATGCAGCGCTTCCCAAGAAGTCCCAGAGAGATGCCTGGTTTGAAGTCAACAATCAAATTCTCAATGCTCTGTTTACTCTTATGTGTCTGTACCAACACCCTAAGCGATTTCACCATCTTGTACTTCTTTGTAGATGGAGACCAGATGACATTTCCCGACTCAGAAAGATATACTGTAAGAATGGGACGTATAAGCCCCATGAGTGGGCACATATGATGGTGGTTGTTGTGCTACTCCATATCAACTGTTTTGCTCAGTATGCCCTTTGTGGTCTGAACTTGGGGTTCAAGAGATCTGAGCGACCTGCCATTGGAGTTGGGATATGTGTATCAATTGCAATAGCTGCACCCGCAATGGCTGGTGTTTACACCATTGTTAGTCCTCTTGGGAAGGATTATGATTCGGAAACGGATGAGGAAGCACAGAGGCCGACTGACATTGGTGAAAGTAAGAGGCCAGAGCAGTTGAGACGGCAATCATTGGAGAAGAGATATTCATTTGTATCCGGAGATGAAGAGAGAATTGTTGAGAGCAGACCACTCTGGAGTGGTGGGATACTTGACTTCTGGGATGATATTTCTCTAGCATATCTTTCCCTTTGTTGTAGCTTTTGTGTCTTTGGGTGGAACATGGAGAGACTTGGGTTTGGAAACATGTATGTTCATATTGCAACTTTTCTCTTGTTTTGTATGGCTCCTTTCTGGATATTCAACTTGGCTGCTGTGAATATTGATAATGAGACTGTCAGAGGGGCTCTTGGTGTTACTGGAGTTGTTCTTTGTGGGTTTGGTTTGCTATATGGTGGCTTCTGGAGGATTCAAATGAGAAAGAGATTCAATTTGCCAGCTTATAATTTCTGTTGTGGTCAACCAGAAGTTAGTGATTGCACGCTATGGCTATTCTGTTGTTGGTGTTCTCTTGCTCAGGAAGCTCGCACTGGGAATTCTTATGCTATTGTAGAAGATAAGTTCTTAAGAAAGCCAATGGACAACGGTGACAAGCTGCCAATATCACCTGTACCTCGTGAAGATGGGATCGTCCTAATTAGTTCTGGCTCTAGTTCTTCACCCGCGTTCAATTCTAGCCCATCCACTAGATTTACAGCCAATTCTTCAAGCCTCTCAATAGTTTCAGAGGAATATTATAGTCCAGACCAGCAGCTTTCTACGGTGAAAGAAGAGTCGTCTGTAAGAGGTAAAGATGAAACTATGATTCCACCCGCTCCATCATCGATACAGAGAGAAGAAACATAATCGGCAAAAATTTTCATGCATCATTGTCATTATCTGATGAATTGATGTTCATGCATGCAGATGTTTTTAAGAGCATAGAAATGCATTATATAGTTTCACATTTTCTCATACTTTCTTATTTGTTTTCATGAATATATATAAATTTACGTTCAGGAGTACTACATTGTTGTTCTGGCGACGTCTCTTTCTTAGCAGCATCAGTTTTCAAATGATATTGCAATTTTTGTTTATAATTGAAATTGCAACCTACTGTCTATCCTTAGCATTTCACATTCTACGAATAAAGATTTGTACGTCAGGAGTAAGAAACTCAAGCTGTGTGACCTGGAGAAATGTCTGATGATTTTGCTAATCGTTTGCTATCTTCATATGGAGAATATGCAAAAGATTTTTTGTTTAAAGTATTAACACTGAACACTACAGGACTGAAAGGTATCTAGAGTTAGTTTCCATTATGTGAACCTGATTGTTGGTAGGAGATAAAGATGGTTGAATATTATGCCATGGAATTAATGCGGGATTTATGGTTCATCATGGATGCTGATTGTTGTTTGCTTTCGATCCAACCAAAATGACCCTCTATATTGAAGCTAAGCAGAAAAGGGTTCTGAGTAGCTGACTTCAAATTCTTGGGACAAACACCTTGACCTTACAGAAATGGATTTTAACAGGGAAACTATAGGAAATTTGCGCAAACCTGCTACCTGAGTCCCACCTTTATATTCTGTCTAACAATGAAAATACCTTCTACAATACAAAATTAAATACGAAGGAGTGTTGAACTTGTATCGCTAGCATGCATTGTCAGCTGCCCAATCTGTGTGTCTCTTCATGTCCAGTATCAACAAAAGCAATTGTTATTCTGTCTAATGAAGCACAATGCTGCTTGACTCGAAAATATTTCATTTACATTTTTTAAGCATTGCTCATTTGATTTGTTTAATGCCTTAATCATTAGTCAGATATTATAAGGAGACATGTCACATCAAATTTACATTGTATTACACTTAGAGAAGTCCACACGTACATGTGCATCAGTAAAGTAATGGGAACACAAGAGAGAAAGAGAGAGAAAAGATGAATTTCTTCTGTTAAAATGGAGTGGTTAGCTGGTCAGATGGTGACAAGGGCCATAAGTGTTCATGATACTAGTTCTGTTCATAGCAAATGCTTACGAGGTAAGTCTTGTCATTTTGGTATTGATGGATCATTTTTCTCACAAGGGTTACAATCATGGCCAGCAAGTTCAAGATGTATATGGGTGTGAGTACCATGGAGCAAGCCAAGCAAGCAGTGTCAGCTAGTAGTGGCACCAGTTTTAGCATTTCCACAATATCGTAGCCCTCGAATTGGCTGTCCAGAAGTCATTCAATTCTGTAACTCGTATGCTTTCTTGGCCCAATAAAAAAAGAATATTCTATGCTGAAATATAGTGTAGAATGAAGCAGATGCCATTTCGAAAGTCTAATGCTAGCTATCGTAGTGTTCTCTCTATTGCACATGCATACAATTGAATGAGCATATATGCTCATGCTAAACTCAAAAACTTTGGAGAGTCCACTTCCTGATTCAACAAAAAAATGATCTACGAAAAGTGATAAGCTCGTCGTGACGGCGATATTAGTCTTCTGACCTAACGCAACCTACCCCTCGAGGAAAGATTTCAATTTTAAGGCTCTATTTGCTTCGTGAAAATTTATTTTTAAAAAATAATTTTTATATTTTTAAGTGTTTGTTTAATAAAAAATTGATTAATCAATGAAAAATAAAATTATTTTTTTAAAAAATTATCATATGATTTGAAAAGAAGAAAACATTTTTTTAAAAATAACTGATTATGAATAGAATTAGTTATCAATACTTTTAGACATAATTTTATTTATAAAAAAATATTATATTATAATATATTAATAAATAATATCCTATTAATATAATATATTAATATATTAATAAATTTTACAATAATATATTAACTAATGAAAAAGCCCGTGCGATGCTAAGGATTTCTTTTTGTAATGAAAAAAAATTGTTTGTTAAAGTAGGAAATAAAACTTGATATGTTCGTCACAGCAAAGATTCTTAAAACAACTTCAAAATTAACATGTTTCTATAAAAATAAAACAAATACTATAAAAAATAAAAAGTACTTCAATATGTATGAATTAAGATCCATGCAAAAACTTGGATATCATACAGGAATCGACCTTTACAACTGCCTCCAGTAATATATAGTCTATCATCAACCACTGCTGTAGTATGCTACAATGAAAACCAAAAAAAAAATGATAAGCATCTAGCTATAGAATAACAGAAAAGGCAGAAAAAGCTAAGGGTTTAAAAGATTTTCAAATACTACAACCTTATTAATGGTTAACAAATATGATCCAACAACTCAAAAGAGAGAAATATAAAATGACACAACCAATATGATTTTGTGCATGCTTTACAATTTAAAAGCAAAATACCCTGTATCGAGCACCAGAAACTGGGAGTGCTACCCATTGTTCATAGGTCAAATCTGAAGGCCAACTGCTGATATCCACGTCTTTTTTAACCTCCTGTGCTCCCATAACAGCTATTTGTATGTCAATCAAGTTCTTCAATTGCAAAATATAAACAATCATCTTAATCAAAGAACGACTCAACTTATATCTTATAAGTTTCTAGGAAAAGGGAGTGGAATGAAAATGGATTGAGGATAATGATAGAATTTTATATCCTCTATATAAAAATTGGTGTCACAGGAAAAACAAAAAGAAAAAAACTAAACTAACATAAAGATACCCATTCCATAGACAGCTTATACATATAGCTACAAATATCTACTTACTAACATATAAAAACATTTTAGAGGATTAGTAACTAAACTTGCCAAACTTAATTTAATAATACTATTTTTGCAGAATTCTAGCTATGATTATCTAGTTACAAACACCAAACTATTACAGAAAAATTATACTGTGATAATTATGCTTGTTCAAAAGCAACTTGATCAAACCATTGCTTCTGAAAAATATTCAATTGAACTGCAAATAACTCTTATCATTTTACCTATGAACTCGCAAACAGGGAAAAATCCAAAAACCAATAAAAATTAGTTACCTTTTTCACAAGCAAGTCCTTAGAAGATGATTTGAACACTTTCTTCAACGTTGTGAACCATTCACTCCCTTTCCTTCCCATCTCTGCTGAAAACAGGAGCTTCAACAATTGTAAAATAGAGACATAAATTTAGTTACAAAAGAAAATATCTAACCTAAACCTGCTTTGTTTTCGTTCTAAATTTTGGCAATCAAAACCAAATTTATCACATTCACTTATGGAGGGTATTCAATTTCATACATACTTAAATGTTTTCCAACCATCATTTTTAAAATTTCAAGAGTTATATTAGAAATGCACTTTGATGTATATGAATATTTTTAACATAAAGAACGCAATTGTTGAAATACAGAACATCTTTATCCTCAAATTGACTTGACCATGGCACCCAGAAACCCGAGCCATTTTCAATTATTTTGAACTTAAGTTTCAAGAAAACACTAAGAGTCATTATATTGCTTTGCATGTTTACTATTAAAACTCAACGAAAAATAAATAAATAAATAAATAAATACTTAACTGATTGTATCACAAGTGAAGCATCATTAATGTTCTTGAATGTTTTCCTAGCATTCCTGTCTTTAATATGCTTTTGTATAACAACAGCAGCTCTATGTCTCTACAGTAAGACAGCAAATTCTTTTCTGATTTTCTCTCCTCTGACAACTGTAGTAAGAGATACAAAAAATTCAAGTTTTAACAATTTCTTACCTATACAAAATAAGAAACTGTCCGTAATTATTATTCTGATTAAACCCTAAAAAAGTTTTATCACAAGTTCACAATCTAGGCAAACTGATTCTTTTTCCTATAAGAATTGCATGCAATGAAAGGAAAATTACCCAACCAAAAACTCCAAAAAGATGCAGATCAACCTGGCACTTACCCTAACATACTGTCATCAACATGATGCTTTGTCGATACACTAACATTTTCTTGATCAAGCCTTCTTATTGGAACAACCATTGAAGGTTATCTATAATCCAATCATAAATACCTTATAAATATCAATTATTATTTAAAGAAGAAATGAAGCATTATAATTAAGATTTATCAAATGAGAGCCTCGCATATTCACCCCATACTCATCATCAATCTTTTTGTTGAATTCCTCTTGAAGTTTTCTTATCAACAACAAAAACAATTACAACAAACTCCTTGATAAACTTATAAGAAATTATTGAGGTACAATAATCTTTTCTAAACCTTTTTTGGGGTTACTTATAAAATTCAAAATTTCAAGATAAACCAAAAAATAATTTGTTTTCCAAGCCAAAGTATAGAAGACAGCAAAGTATCAAATTAATTTAACCCTCAAATTTGATAATACATAGGCAAAAACTAATCGTTGCAAGTTTAAACTACAACCTTTCCCCATTTTTTTTAGTAAGTGAAATGTGAAATGCAACATACACTCTCATTATGGCGTATTGGAAAGCTTCAATTTACCACAGATAATAATAACTGAATAATACTAGAGTATCAAAACACTAATAATTTATTTATTATTTAATCAGCATAGTGCAAGATTATACCATATAAATTGAACAATTTCACTAAAAAAATACAAAAAAAAAAATCTCACCTCTATTTCAATTGCTAGAACTGCATCCTACTCATTCAACAAATATATCAATTATAAATCAGCATAACAATAAAAAAAATTAATAAAGGAATCTATTTAAAAAATAGAATATCATGGTTTTGCTACTAATGGCAGATTCCCTAGCACCAGTAGAGCCATATAGAAAAACAAGCCACTTTTGACTGACAACCAAAAGCATCTTTTAAAACTTCGCTTTAATCTAGATGTCATGACAAAAGAAATTCCAGCTAATTTATCATCCCTGAATCACAAAATCAAAGAAGTATAACAATAAAAGCTAGAATGATTTACAAAGCTTCACTACAATAAAGCCACCAACATCAATGAGATGATTATCACGGAAAAAAAAAAGAATAGATACTTTTGTTTTTAACCTAAAGGAAAATCTTTAACAATTTTAGGCCAATGCCATATACCATTCTACCAGCCTTTGACCTTTTAAAGGAGGCTCACTTTCATGAAACTGTGATGATGTAAAAGAACAAAGGCCAAACAATTACAGGCAGTTTTCTTGACTAAAACCAAGTTCTCTATTTTCAGAATTCAACTTATTGTGTTCAACGGTTCCAATATATGCACCAGCCTTTTTCAGAGCTATATATTGACAGAACTCCTCCCATCTAAAAGAGTTGAAACAAGATTTAACAAAAAAATACAAACTATGTAAGCTTTATCTTGGTCTATTTAAATCATTTGCTATAAAGCTAAACAAATCGTAATAAACATGAATGTGCTTGTTCAACCCCAACACCAAACTTTGCAATTGCTCTGTCATCAATATTCAAGATGACAGATAGAATTTGTATACCACACCATCTTATGTTTGAGATATCCTTTTCAAACTTGACATCACTGCCTCGATCGAGATTAGTTTCTTTAAAAATAACTCCAAAATTCTAAAATTAAAAAAATATCTCAACCCAAATAATAATTGGGCTAGACTAATACTGAAGCCCATCAGTTTATTAAGACATTATTTAGTAAAAGAAAAATGGCTGAAATATTAGATGAAAAAAAACCTACCTATCGTGAAACAGAAAGGAAATAGAGTTCTTCTTCCTCATCTTCTTTAAGGTTAGAGAATATAAAAAATCAAGTTGGAGATTCACAATCAGAGGCTACAATCAAGTTAATCCCTTAAAGGTGAGTACATGCCCTCTTTTTATTTGAAAAGAAATATCAAATTGATTGCTACTAGTTGGAGTTAAAGTTTTGAGAGAAAAACCAAGAAAAATCACGAAATCCTTCATTAATCTTGATGATCTACTTGGATAAATTACTGGGCTTTGTTTATTTCATGTTCTTAAGATTTATTGATGATTATTGAATGGAGTTTGAATGCTGAAAGTAAGGATTTGAGTTTTTAAAGATTGAAGGAGAAATTCTATTTTTGGATGAGATGTTGTGATCTGTAATAATGAATTAAAATAGAATTTTGCATTAATGGATAGATTATTGCTGTGATTATTATATATCATTAGAAAGCATGTTGAATTTAGTTTCTAATGAAATAAACAAAAGTTGAATTCGAGTTCTCTATGAAGAGTTGTTTAATTTCTACTTAAGAATATGCAGGTTGTGAGATAGCAACATCAAGGTTGAATTACGAAATTCTTTTTAATTTGTATACAAGGATTGATTAAGCCATATATGTTTAGAAAGCTTATTGAATCTACTTTTCAATAAAACAAGCGGAATTGAATTTGGAGTTTCTTGTGAATAAATATGTAATTTTTATTAGAAGATATACAGGCTGTTTGGCAGCAGTATATGACGTGGATTTCAAAAATTGTTATAATTAATCTACAAGAAATTACGAGATGTGCCATATATGGTTAGAAAACTTATTAAGTCTAGTTTCTAACGCATTAAAACGATCATAATTCTGATTTGGATATATTGAGATATGACTGTTTTAATGAAAAGAGGTCAAGTTGTCAGTATTAATTAGTTAAGTTAACCTTTTGTGTAACTTAGTTGATTTTTGTATAAATGGTCTCAAAAAGGGTTGATTAAATTTTGATATGTTGAAATGATCTTGAATAGGCCATTAATTATTTTGAGGGAAAAACTAAGTGGTGAAATTGAATGGAAGTAAGTAGAATCTCACACATTTTGCTTGTTTTCAAATATATGTATATATATATATATATGTTTCTAAATGAATGAATGTTTTATTTCTTTATTTTCGATATATGAAAATATGATCAAGCATATAATTATTTTGTGTTTCTCTATATAAATGATGGATCATGCTTATGAATGAAATGAGAAAATGATTTATGATTAAAGAATGATTTTGTGATGGCTACGTTTTTACATCCCTGAGAAGTAGGATCATCGACACCAAAACTAGTTCTACGACCCTGGCTAACGGGTAATAGTAGTTAGCAACGACATGATCATACGATCCTAGCTAACGGAAAATAATAGTTAGCGTAAGCCCTGACTAACGGGTTATAATAGTTAGCAATGATCATGAGAATGAAATTGTCGATACGATCAATATCACGGGTTATAACAGTGACCGTAGCTAACGATTTGAATGATAATGATGATTTTTAATGATTGATCCATGATTTGATTTGATTATGATATTTGAATAGTAACATATTTTTACATTGATTTATGAATTTATGAAATATTTGACAAAACGATGATTTTGAAATGTTTTGATACTATCATTTGATGAATTTTTTGAATGATCTATATGATGTGTAAGAAAACGATGCTTAATTTGATAAGATGTGTGAACCTATACTTACTGAGCTGTGGTTTGCTCATTCTTCTTTTACTTTTTATTTACAGATGACTAAGCGATAAGTTTAATTAGTCTTGTGTGAAACCAGAAGATGAAATGAATAAGATTACTTAATCGTCGAAAAATATGTTGACCAATGAGATTTTAAGAGATAGTTTTATATTTTATACGGTTTGTATATGGATATATAAAGATATATCATCAGTTGAATTAAAGATATGAATTTTACTTGATAGATTATTTTATTGAAGAATTTTAAAATGTTTAAAAAAAAAGCTTCGTATTACTTTAAGATTTTTTTCAAGATAATATGATCGTGTTACATCTTGATCTCGAAACGTGACATATATCTACATGCAAACCTTTCAAACTAACTAACATCCAACCTCAACACCTAAATACGCAAATAAATAATACTAACAATAAAAAAATAAGAAATAAGAAAAAGAAAGAAATTACAATGCGATCTTGAAAAAGTTTGGCTCCTTTGGTGATAGCCAGCATGATGAACAACGGCATTGGCATAGTTCTTGATATTTCGAGTGAGGTTATTCTTGTTCCCAACCTCCATCATTTTGTTCACTGCCATTCTTAACCACGACATGTCGTTTCTTTTCTTCTCTCCTCGCCCAATCGATCAACACAATGGGGTTTAATTTATTTTTTTCTATTTTTTTAAAAATTTACAAAAAAAATTCTGTTTCTAATTTATTGTCTAATGACTTGTTGATATTGAGGGAGAGAATAGACGGCGAGGAAGGGGGCGATTAGCATGGGGTAGACAGGAGCAGGGGTGACCGAAACAGGCTGGGCCAAGGGGGCATAAGGTTGGGCCTTTTGCTAGATATGAAATGGCAAAGCAAAATATGATGGGTTCATTGTCGTTTGGTAGATGAATTGAGAAGATGATGAGTAAGGAGTGGCAGAAGATGATAAGGAAAAGAGGAGAGAAGCTGACTCAGATGGCTAAAGAAAAAAATCAGGCTCTGATTTAAACCTAAGGATAAAGAAAAGATTTTGACACGCATGCAAATTAAAAATGTTAAAGAAGAAAAAAAATTGATTGTTTAAAAACAAAGATAAGACCTTGGATTTTTGGAGAAAATTCAGAACCGTAAATATAAATTGGAAGACCAAATTGTGATGAGCAGATGAAGTTTCTCTGAATAAGAGCAAACGAAGCTTCTGGAGAGAAGCTTTTGACCAAAATTACCCTTAAGGTTTTTTAATACATTGTTGACGTGTATTGTCAATCGCAATCAGGGGATTGCGATTATATATAGGTATAGATATTAATAAATAATATATATTAATATAATATATTAATAAATATATTAAGAAATAATATTATAATATATAAATAAATAATATTATTATATTAATAAATAATATTGCTTTAATTATTAAATATTATAATAATATATTAATATATTATTAACAAATAATATACTATTAATATAATATATTAATAAATATTATTAATAAATAATAGAAAGAATAATAAATAATTTTATTCTAAGTATTTTTCATTAACATAATATTTTATTATTAAAATATAATTATTTTTTTAATATTAATCTAAATAATTTCAATATATTTTAAAAATAAATCATTTTTAATATTTTAATAATTATATTAATATTATTTAAAAAATTTCATAAAAATCAAATAATAAAAATATTTTATATTAATTCATTTAAACAATAAAAAAAATTTAATTTAAAAAATATGAATAAATTTTAAAAATTATTTTTCTGAGATCATTTTCAGGTACATGTGGGGCGGTCGAAAAGATAAAACAATGCTTTATTGTCATATATTATCCAATGAACTGAGGGGTAGAAAAAAAAAATCAGCTCTAAAGAAGTCATGTAGCTGACACGACTCTCCTTGAACTTGAAGTCAGCAACAGTTTCACATTTAAAATCAACGCAGCATTGCCGTGTAGGAGGCCCCATTATTTATCATATATAACCCACTTTTGCTCCTCTTTGACCAAACGAGACAATTTTATGATTAACTGAAATAATATATTATCCTTACTTAATATCGAATTTACCTTTCGGTTCTTTCTGCTTTGTTTATCCATAGGAAAGGAGCAGAAAATGGCCATGGAAACCGGTACAAGAAAATACAGATTATGAAAGACTCTCAGAGCTCAAAGTGTGCCCGAAAAGCTGTTAGCCCAAGGCTTTTGGCCCTTTAAGAGAAGAAAGATGGCCTCCAACAGACGTCTTTACAGAGAAGATCATGAGATTATTTTGTTAAGATCAATCCAAAAGCTCAAGTTCATTCAATATTTTGTGGTTGAAACACTACAACTAATTAAAAAGGACATAGGTGGTTAACAATTATTAATGGTTGGAAACGGGTCAACCGAAAGGGGAAATTTTGTTACAACTAATTAAAAAGGAGACAAGTGGTTAACAATATTAATGGTTGGAAACGGGTCCAATTCATTAAGTGGAAAGAGGAAACATACATTAATTACGGGATAAAGGAACAGAATTTTGATTGAATTATTTATAAATTTGTTTAATTTATATTTATTTATTAAATTTAATAAATGATATTAAATAATATTTTTATATTTATTTATTAAATAAACTGAATATAAATAAATGTACATTTAGTTTATTTATATTCATAAGCCTACTCATTTAAAATTTATTAAAAATTCATTCATTTATTATTTATTTACTATTTACTATTTATTCATAATAATATTAATAAAATTATTTTTTTATTTTTTATCTTAATCTTATTTTATAATTTTTTATATTCATTTGAATTTATTTATATTCGTTTAAAATTTATTTATTTTAATTTATTTACTTAAAATTTATTTATTATTTATGCACATATTTATTTATATATATTCAAAAATATATTCATTCGATATTCACAAATAAGCTCGTACAACTTAATTGAAACAAACATAAATAAAAAATAAACTAAATATAAATATTTTATCATTTAAACGAATAAACTCAAATAAACAAAATAATTTTTATTAAATATGAAACGAGCTTGATTACTTTTAAATATAAATAAATAAATCATAAATATATATTTATTTATATTTAATTCATTTACACTTTTAAAATTAAGATTAATGACTGGCATTAATTTAGCTCTCCAAAAAAGCTGTAAATGTGGATAAATTTTCGAAATCATTTACTTAATGCAAGCATTATTTTACCAATAAACAAAGTAGAATCCACGTGTAAGCCATTTTGATGAATTTATCAAAGCTTGTTGGAGAATTAAAACTATGGACAAAGTGATATTTCAACTACTCATCCTTGGCATCCTTGTATGATTCCCCTAAGCATCACTTCATCTATCAAAACCAAGGGAAAAAGAAAGAATTATAAATTAAGCAGTTGAGATGTACTGGATTGATTTTAACCCAAATCAACCATTTGCCAGCTCAAAAATACAACTTTAACTGACACCAATTCTATAAACATGTAAATGATTTGGGAAATTAAGTCATTGTAAACGTGATTCGTTACAGGCAAGAGCTGATTGATTTGATTACCATATCAGGTATAGCAGCTCATTGACATTTAAGTATCTAGCTAAGCCTCCACGATCCTAATATTACAAAGAACTTATTGTGGCACTCTGATCATTTCCTTTCAGGTTCTATCTTTTGTTTTTTTTTTTTTTCCCCTGTAAGAGTTAACAGGGACATTGACAAATCGGTATCTTAAGCCACTTTCATTTGAGCAGTTTGGGTCGCTTTCATTTTAATTTCTAGCTTCCAAAACATTACCATCTTTCCATGCTAGCTAGCTTGGTAAGCTATTGAAGCATGGCCTGCACCTTTCCAAGTTTTCAACCAAAATCCTGTTTCTGGCAATGTGATTGGAGTAGGGACTACTGAGGACCGTTTCGAACTTGACAATTTGTGGACTATGAAAGGCGTCTGATCTTGATCAAAAGACAAAGGTGGGCCCTTGATAGATCAGAATGGCCTCTCTGCAAACCTGCACTAACTGGTATTTACTCTCCACTACTCTTCATTATACAAGACAAAGTCTCCTTGTCCTCATCTTCCTAGGACTGGGGCCAAAGGTTGATTTCTAGAAGTGACTTTCAATGTGACCTGCACTGGAAAAAGCCATTGAATAGTAACTGACGTTTCCTTCAAAGGTTTTTCCTGGGTGTGCTGTGTATCTTAAAGCATGAAAATTGTCTGTTTTCAACAAGGGCTAATCAAAGTTCTCAAATGAAAGAAAAGGAATGGCAAACATGACTACAAAACCTTTTATTTGTCAAGAAATCAATGCTACAAATGGGGAAGAAAAAAGCTAATCTTCTTCGTCTCCTTGTCAAAAAGCTAACAAACCTATCAAAGGAGACAAAAAATAATATAAAAAAAGATGAAATCTGTTGTCAAAGTCACGATAATTTTGAAATTAATTGCTATATTAAAAAATTTTAATTAATTAAATAATTAAATCAATAAAAATTAAATTAAATAATAAATTAATTGCATAATAAATAATAATTTAATAAAATTTAATCCAATTAATAAAAATATATATACTACTTGTAAAAAATTTCAAATATATCAACAAATCAAATACTCAAACAAAACTCATTAACCCTTTATTTTTTTCTAATCTTATAAAATATTTTCCTTTCAAATAAATACATATTTATATATACAGATATATTATATTTATATATTCTCATTCTCCTCTTTCACTCAAACATACACATATATCTAAAGATTTTTTCAATTTCTTTTAGTTTCATAGATTTTTACTTAATAAAATTTTACAATTTTTTTACATCTTTTTTTATATTTAATTTTGTAAAGACTCATACTATTTATAAATATACTAACTTATTTATTAAAAAAAAATTTCTCTTAAAAATTTTTTTTATAAATTTTTTTATTTATTAAATAATATATAATCAAGCTCAAATAAATCACTTATAAAATATGAGCCATTATTCTTAAAAAATATTCTTATGAAAATTAGTTAATGTGAAATGAAAGAAAACTATCTATATTATGAGTTATTTCGCGAATCCTTGAGATGCAAGAAAAATAAAGCAATGCTATGCTTTTAAGTGAGAAAATGGAATGATTCTTTTCCATTTGCTTGCTCTGATCTGCTGTAAAGTTGAAAACTTCTTCGCTTTTCAACTTCAACTTTGAACTACCAAAGCACAGCCTTTAAATATCTCCATTAGGAGATTGCTTTTTCTTTTTTAACCCAAATTTCCATGCAAAATACTCAACAATTTATTTGATATTTTAGCAAAATTTCGGTGTCATCAGCTTGAAAGGAAGGAAAAGTAATTTGGGTATTGTTCCTAAGATTTCCCTAAACCAAAAGGATGAACACAGGAACAGAATAACCAATAAATGACAACACAACAAGAAATTCCATGAGCATGCAAGCTGCTTATCACCCCAAAGTTGATCACGTAAGAGATTATAACAAACTCATCCTTTTAGCCCAAATCAATAGCTTGACGAGGGATTATTAGGAAACTTATCTAAAATAAATGCCATTTAAGTGGGGTCAAAAAAATTTGGCTTGACCAGAATTCCTCACTGCTCACCTGTGCTCACCCCCACCTAGCTGTGTAGGATAGAAACTGACGATGCATCATCATTGGGCCCCACTCCATCCCATTATCAAAAAGATCCTGCCAACATTGAGTGGTGATTCCAGTCCCAATTACCCCTACAATTTATCAGAATTACTATAAAGGCTAAAACTTGATGCTAAGGCTTCCATTAGGCATGGGCTTGATGCTAAGTGCTAACGCTTTTACAAAGAAAGGGATGTGGAGAATCAAAACCAAGTTGATGACTTTCTCTATATAAACCCCATCTCATCCAACGTGAGACTCTTACCAGTTATTTCTGGTTCTTTTCCTCTTCTTTTGCAAAACTCAAATAGCTTTTCCTTTACCTTTCTTCTTTTCTAGGTGATCCCCTCACGAACTGGCTGACAAACAGGAAAAAATTCTGGAGGAAACCAACAAGAACCAAGAGGTGGTTCTGGCCCTCTATGAGGCCTTAAGGACTCGAGACGTTGAAACTGTTCACCAAATTCTTGCTCCTGACCTTGAGTGGTGGTTCCATGGCCCACCAACCCACCAGTTTATGATGCGCCTTCTCACTGGAGCTTCATCAGACGACTCTTTCCATTTTGAGGTTGATCCACGTTCACTTTCCACCTTTGGGTCCACCGTTATTGTTGAAGGTTGTGATCAAAGTCGCTCGATCTCTTGGGTTCACGCTTGGACTGTTACGGATGGGATAATCACCCAGGTGAGGGAGTACTTCAACACTTCTCTCACTGTTACTCGCCTTGGAAACTCTAGCCAATCTCAAAACTACGATTCATCATCACCATCATCGTCTTCTACGTCACCGTTAACGGCTGAGATTACCCCTGTGCATTGCCCTTACGTCTGGGAGAGCAGTTTCTCCAACAAGGTTGGAAAGTCTGTGCCAGGTCTTGTCCTGGCAATTTAGTCATTTCAGTATCCTCTCTCTGTGATCAGGTGCAGCCCTGAGTAGGGCAACATAGTACGATAAATAAAAAGGTGCATGCGTGTCAGCTCCTTATTGGTGTCCTACACCCTGTTAGGACAGAGAGAGATCAGAGATGTAAGATCCTAAAGGTCGTGTTTGTTCTGTTCTTCTTGTTGTTTGGGAATGTGAATTTGTATTTTGCTTATTTTTCAATGTATTTGGCAGAATGTATGGAGATTTGTGGGTCCAACATGGGAAGACCTACTTGTTCTTCTCACTCGACTCTCTATGACGTAAGCTATTTCCGTTGTGCAATAAAAGTGTGGTACCTTGATTTTCATGATTGGATTTCAAGCATTTGATTCAATAATAATAATACATGAATGTTTTATTTGTGGAAAGAACTTTTTCAAGCCCATTCTCAAGAGTCAAAAACAATTCAAGGAATGGGACGATATGATCTTAATTCAGTTCTGGTTATGCATGTTCAAAGATACATAGGCTTGTGTATTGGATGTTAAGAAAATTAAAGTCGACCCTCTCAACATCAAGTGATTGATTCGATTGATAAAATTTTAAATTTAAAAATTTTAAGATTAAATTCAATCATTTATTTTAATTTATTGGTTATCATATATTTTATTTTAATTTAAAATTGAATTCAACCACTTATTTTAATTTATCGATTATTACATATTTTATTTTAATTTAAGTTTGAGTCCAGCCATTTATTTTAAATTACCGATTATCATATATCTTATTTTAATATAAAAATTAAATAATCTATTTATTTTTAAATTTTTCTTTTAAAAAAAAATATTTGACCCTCTCAGCTCAATTGTCATTTTTCCAGCAAAACATAATAATAAATTCAATGAAAGGGACAGGGTGAAACTTGGATTGTCCTTATTTTGTATCAGGCATGCATTTCCCAACTAAAACAAGCTGCAAAATGTGTCATTTATCTTTGACCTCCTTAATTAATAAGTCATTTATGATTAAATTCATAGGATTTGGCTATTTCTTAGGTAGCAGCAGCAGCCATTTTGCTCTACTTGGTGACAAAAAATACTACTTAATTTTGTGATGTGTAAGACTATTTTGGCAGCAATAATAATAATTATCTACTAATGTAACCAATAAATAGGACTTTGACATTTATCTACTTCTCACTGATTTGGCCATGATATATAAGAGGCTAAGGCATCAAAATTTGGCACAAATTTAATATCCAAAAATTAAAAAAAAGAATTATTACAATTAGAGATATTTATTTGATCAATTCGATTAATTTCAAATCTAATTATTTAAAATTAAATCAATTAAATTATTTTATTTTATTTTTATTAATTGAATCAAATTTTTTAATTTCAAAAATTAAACTGATTGAAATTAATTTAATTGATTTTGTTAATTTTTTTGGTTAATCGAATAATAAAATACATTAAATTAAATTATATTTTAAATTCTTATTTTTTTTCATATATGAAATAAATTAAATAAATTCATCTAACAAAAATATTCAAGCACCAAAATATTAAATTAAAAACTCTAATAATTTGAAATGAAATGAATAAATTCATATATTTTTATTTTTATATATAGATTTTATAATATTTTGATTAATTTAGTTTTCGAACCGAATTAATCGAAAATCAAAATTTTTTTAAAATCATTTTTAATAATTGACCGAAATTAATTTGATGGCCAATCGATTAACCAAATTAAATCAATTTGGTTGGTTAATTTGGTTAAAACTGAATGATGAATACCCCTAATTATAAATAATATAAAATTATAAAAAAAGATTTTCTATGTTTTTAATATAATATAAAAATTCTATAAAAAAAAAGGGAAATATGAACATTTGATTTACTACTACTATATAACTCATTGATATTTCACATTATGACATCAGTGCATTCCATCCTTAGACTTTTCATCTTATAGTTAAAAGTTTTGATTTTTTTTTTTTTTTTGACCTTTTGAGCCCCAACTAACCACCACTCTATTTTTTGCAACCATTTGAAAATGTAAAGGAAGATAAAATTGGTAATCTTTTGTTGTTTGATTTTAGATTTTCTAGTAATTAATTTATAGTTTATATATAGAATAGAGGAATTTTACATGATAGTCAACATATGAGATCAGATAAGATCAATAAGAGTAATCTAACAACTTCCTTTGATAATACAATACAATACATACTAATACCATACAATATTCCAAATCACAAACATATATGAAATGAGTCTTATCAGTATATCCCTTTCTACCACCTACAGAGTAATTCTTCAACTCTCAATTTTTCTTATGGCATACCCAATTTCACAATTTAATATTGTCATGGACATCACCAATTTCTTTTTGTCTTCCAATTCTTTAAATAAATTCATGAAAGTTGAAAGAATCTGCTATTTTTTTGTGTTGTAAAAAGAAAAAAAGTGGAAATAAATAATTAGTATTATTGTTGGTTTAGTTTGTTTGTTTTCATTTTTTGGGTCAATTGTTAGTATTCTTTTGTGTTTGTTATTGTCAATCGGTGGCTACACAACTAAGTTTCAGAAGAATAATGCTCACAAGTTGTGGTATATTCTTCACATTTTCTGCCCTTATATTGTATTTATAAATTCAAAAAGAGGAAAAAACATTGACAATGAAAATTAATTGGAATTCAGCATATGATTCCCATATATGCTGTTTCTTCCTTTCCAAAAGTCTTTATATCCCAAATATGCCAACTCTTTTGCCTTAGCAGCTAAAATTATTTTATTTTATTTTGAATTTATTTTTTAACTTGGAAGGTTTAATTTTAAAATTCATTAGAACTCTTTATTATATTAATAAAAAGGAGAAAACAAGTAGATTGCTGGAGAAAGGACTATCTTTGTTTTATTGCATAGCTCAAAATCCATTGAACTTGGCAATTATTAGAGGAAATTTGAGAGTTTTTGGGGGATTTTTCAATCACTTCATATTTGGTTCCTTCCACTTTTATTGAAAATTTCTTATCCTGCTCATTAATGAAAGGGATCAATTAGAATGTCTTAAATAATATAAGCTCTAGGCCTTGTTTAAATTTGTTGTTTTTTTCATCCTAATTATTCTTATTATATGTCGTTTCTATGAATTTTCCGTCATATTTAATATATGTCAATTGGGGAAGTTGGAGTTTTTTACAAAAACAAATATATCTTATATGTACGTAATGAATTAGTTAAATTTATTGATTAGTTATTATCTTATATGTACACGTAAAATGATTAAAGACATACAGGTTAAGGAAAATATTGAGCAAATGCTTCAAAATGGAAGCAATCTTTATTAAATTATTTTTATTTTATTCAATGAATAAATACACATAAGGTTGGTAAATACATCCAAACCCGTCGGATTCTAATTCGAATCGACTTGTTGAGTTTTGGCCAACAAATCAAAAATCTCTGTCAATTGTTGATCAAAAAGCTCTGTCAATTGTTGATTATATATATATATATATATATATATATATTGAGTTGGATATAAAAAAAAATATTTTAATATTGGTTAGGTGAGTTACGTGTTTATTTTATAAAATTGGATTAAGGTCGACAAGCAAAAATCAGCCCTGACCTGACCCATTTTCATCGCCAAATGCACATACTATATAGTTTAAGTTTAGCCATGAAATTCAGTTGCATATTCCTGATACAGCCACAAAAGAAATTAGACATCTTTTTTTCGTTTGTTTGTCTTGAGTTGCATACTATTTTATGAACCTAGCATGAAGCCAATACCAGTTGTCTTCATCCTTAAAACAAAAAAGAGGTAGTTTTTTAGAGGAAAAAGAGAGTGGGATGGGAACAGAAAGGATTCAGAAGCTGATACTAGATTGAATCAAAGTGTAGGAGAAGAATCTGACGGAAGCACAAATTGTGAATGTTCATTTTAAGCACTGAAGTAAGAAATTATTCTCTGGTGTCAAATTAGAATTTGCAATACAGGTTGTGGCCACTAGAAAGTATATATCCTCTCATTTTCACTATTAGAACATGCGTCTGCAATTTTGCTTTCCAATTTCAAAGGGGAACACAATAGCCCACAGAGATCAAGTCCAATCCTATGTATATTGGTTGTGGAGTTATTGTCAGAACTGTTGAACGGGAGAGAAATATTCTTTAGCTAATCAATTTCATTTATGGGCCCTCTCCTGGTTGATTGAGTGAATATGGCAATTCCAGTGCCACCTCTAAAAGGGTTGGCATTAATTGAATATGGCAACTCCAGTGCCTCCCCTAAACGGGTTGACAAGACCGAGGCCATGTTAATCTTCTGTGTATATCAGGATTAATTCAGTATAGAAAATGGGCTGTGCTTGCATTTTATTGATGGAATTTGGTAAAGCGATTATCAAATACTGTTGGTTCCTGTTGCTTATTTTGCATCAAGGTTTTGGTTCCATACATAGATTATTCAAGAAAGTTGGGATTTCTCAGTTCGATCCATCATGTTTCGAAGCACTGTTTCATTGGAAAGCCAGCCTAAGTAACTGGATCCATTTTATAACCTGTTTTGAAACCTCTAGCCCAATTTGAAGAGTCCTAGTCGTTGGCCTGTTGAAATTTTCCATATATGTTCATGAAGCAAACAAAAGACGCAACCCAAATCAGGGAACAAGACAAACAAGGAAATGAAAAAAGCGAATTCGATATTTGTGCAATTGGTAAGGAATATTATACACTTCAATTCAGGGTTGATTTCCCTTTGGGAGGTATATGTGCAGCGGAAGTGTGCTAGGACACACTACAGCAAAAGAGAAATCATAAAACATTCGAAGAAAAAAAAAACTTTAGATTGAAGATTATGCATTGTCATTCTCATGCATAATTACTATCAAAGCTACAATGAAGGCATAATCCACCTCTGGATACACTTTTACCTTGAAACTTTCTTTGCCCTTGCAGCTTCCCCATGTGAAATTGTGGCTAACCTGTATTTTCATGAAACAGCATTGGATTAAAGAAAGGAAACAAACTGTCTTAACATTTTCAGGAATTCTAAAGGGATTCTACTAATTCTGGTACCAAATCAAACACATTTGACATCAGAAATTGAACCAGAAAGAGCTTTTTATACCTCTGCAATGATTGAATTGCCTTTCCGAACTTTGAATGAAAGGGAAGTATAACTTCCTGTTACACGAAAATCTCGGCCATCTCCCTTGTAGCTGCTTGCTAAGTAAACATCAAGATTGTTTTTGATCTGGAGAGCATTGGATCGCTTCACGCTGCAGAGAAAATGGTTTCGTTCTGAGCTTTCACCTTGATGAATTAGCCATTGTTGTTTCCAGGATAATGCCTGCCGCCATCATTACTTTTCTCAATTCCAAGCAACATCGACATAAAGATCATTTTATACTCAAATCTAAGGAAAAATGTTTGCATACCTTTTCGCGGAGAGTGATGACAGGCAAACCAGCAGGATCTTTCATAATCCTTCTCTTGTGGAAGTTCCAGACACCGCCATCAACTTGAAGGAGAACATTTCCAGTAGTATCAAACACATCATAATGTGCATTAGAAAATGATTGTATTTTCTTCTTGACAAGGAGTTCCAATGTGTAAGGGACACAAAACCGATCCCCGACAACCTTGATGATCTGATCATCACTTGCCATATTCTTAATCTAGGAGAAGAAAAATCGACGCTCTCTGTCGGAAACAATCCACTATTGATTGATTCTGATATTCTTTGGTAAACTAAAAGAAAACACTTCAAATAGGGACCCCTGGAGGCTGGAGGCTGGGGGGTGCAAGCTTTATTGCATTTTCCTGGAAATAAAGCTCTTTGAATTTGGGAAATGCGGCAACAATGCCAGACAGATGTTCTGCTTTATTTTAATACTAAGTACACACTACAGTATTCATCAAAATGGCAGCCAACACTTTTTGCAAAGGAGTCAAACTAGAATACTTATCCTTTACGCCAATTAGAATAGATCTTTTGGAAGAGAAGGAGCAAAACAGATGGAAACAGAATATCAGAAAAGTATGAAAAAGATGTATTATATGCTAAACATCTGTACCTCAAAATTTAAAATGAATTACAACTTTTCAAACTTTTTACCTCAAAATTTAAAATGAATTTGAGCATTAGAGACTTGACAACATCAATGAAAATGTCACTATTAAATTGACCCCATTCATGTGAACACTGACCCATTGATAGCCCTCAAACAAAAAGAAAAGAAAAATCCCTTGAATTTAATGTGATTGGTTCCCAAGCATAAAATCTCAGATTGACAAGTTGAAGAGAGATATATACAAACCAAATAAGAACATACCTTTTAATAGATTCCATGAATGCAGGGTAATATGAGTTTCAATTATTGAATGAAACTCAGGAAAAATGATGAAAATGGGGAAGCTGGGAAGAGAGAAATTCGGTGAAGTAAATTTACATTTTATACAAAACAAAATTCTGGTAATTTATTGTTATAATTTTGAAGAACAATTATTCTTGACAACCAGCTAAAGATTCTGATTTTGAGTATCTAAATTTAAGAATTTAACAGAAGTGCTTGATTGTTTTTCCTAACAAAAATTGGTTTTTTTTTTTTTAGGGGAGTAAGTTGTTTACTTATTTATTTGTTATGATTTGAGAAACACCCTTACAATATTAACCATTGAAGCCTTAAACCAATTTGCTAAACAATTAAAAAAATTTCAACCACTTAATCATATTAATATGGTCATAACTAATTGGAATATCTTTTTGGTAAAGAAAAAGATAAATGCAACTTAAATTTCAAATTTTTATCCTGGTTTCTTGCATCCATTTTGATAATATATATATATATATATATTTTTTTTTATATTTATTCTCAATTTTGTTCCATTCATTTTAGAAATGATACAGACAAAGACATTCATTATTGTAATGATAGCTCTAATTATTACAATAAAATTGATCATTTAAAGATCGTTTGATATTATTGTGTGTTTTATTTTCGTGTCTTTAAAATTTTTATTTTGTTTTATTTTTAATTTATTAAATTTGAAAACATGTGAATAAAATATTTTTGTTTTAGAAATATAAAAATCTGAAACAAAAGCATATAAAAGAAAAGTAATTAAAGTTTTTATGTTCTAAATAGGAGAGGTTCGGTCAAATGAAAAAATTTTGAAGTGTAGCGGAACTATAGCCGAATGGGTAACAATATCCGTGCCATAATACTTATTAGGCTATAGTGTCGAAATTATTTTAAAAAATCTGAAAACATTATTTTTTGTTGTTTTCAATAATTTTCATTTTTTTTTAATTTTCAAAAACAAAAAATAAAAACAACCTACCAAATATATTTTTATTTTTATTTTTTAACAAAAATTAAAAAATAAAAAGAACAAGAAACAAAAAATAAAAAGGTTCCCGAACGATCCCTTAATTAGGGTAAAAGACATTAGAAATTTCATTTTTGATGACACCTTTTTAATCAGATGATTTAGATTTTTTTCTTGATCATATTTTATGTAATTAAATAAAAACTTTAAAAATGACAATTTGCAAAAATGAAAAATCTGAGTGCTTTGGGTACTTTCCCTGTCCAAGTCTCAAGATCTAACTAAGCCCCTACCCAAAAGGAAACCATCACATTGGCCGAAAACCAAAAGGGAAACCATCACCATAAAGACCAGCTAAGAAAAAAGAGTGCATCAAATAAATCCAAGCAAAAGTAATAAAAAAATGTAAAACCATTTCCTCTGCCTTTTCTCTTTCTTGATTCATTTGAAAAAAAAAAAAAAAAACTGTGTTGTAACTGTTTTATGGGAAAAACAATTCTTTATACGACGAGAGGCCAACATTTTGCAAAAGCAGTCCCATCAGACAGATTCCGCAGAGCAAAACACGGAAAACCCATATCGAGAAACCGAGTTTCTTGCCAAGAAACGGCGAGTTCGAGTGCGATCCAAGCCGACTCAGAGGGATTCAAGCCGAAGGCAATGGATAGCTGGGGTGACGAGGACCGGATTCCGCTGGCTCAGGTGGTTTCCGAGTTGGTTAAAGGATGGTTTCAAGACGCTTTAAAGGAGGCCAAGGCTGGTGATACCAATATGCAAGTCCTTGTTGGACAGATGTATTGCAGTGGCTACGGTGTTCCTAAAGATGTCCAAAAGGTCCCATTTTTGTTTAGTTTTCCGTATTATTTTTGGTTATGTTATCAATTTTTATGTTTGCTGTGGTTATAGATGTTTGACAAAGGGCTAATTTGATTCCTTTTGTAGCTTTTCACGTTTGTATAATTGTACCTTGGTGTTCTTTGTTTTGTTGGATTCATTTTCGTTTGGGGTGTGGTTAAAATCTTATAGATGTCCTAAAAAGGGCTATAATTTGATTCATTTTTATTGCTTTTCCATGTTGATATGATTAATTATCCTGTCGTTCTCTATGTTGTTGAGACTCTTTTGTTTTGTGATGTGTGATTCATGTTGCATGTTTTACTTATTTTGCTTTGTGGGGATTTGGACCTTTTATCCGTCTCTCTTGTTTGGCATCTCTACTAGTGAGAAACAAATTCACTTATTTGAATCTTGATTAATTGCAATCTGAACTTTAGTAGTCCCCCATGTCGTTTTCTTTCTCTTGCATTTCTTTGAAGAGAATAGGTTCTTGAGGTAACAGAACTTATTCCAGAGCTGATGGATGATACTTGAGTAAGAGGTGTCCATTTCTATTTGCTACTCGACAGTTATGCTGCTTCATTTCTTGGGTTGTATGTATCATGTATGGTACACTTGTTGTGAACTTGGGAATCCTGACCATACTAGTTAGTCATTTCTTCTGAAACTAGGGGCGTGCTTGGATTGGTAAAGCTTCAAGGAGTCGATCTTCGGTTTGGCAAGTTAGTGATAAGCATCCAGGTACTCTCTCTCTCTTTCTCCTCTCTCTTTCATAGGCACATTGACTGCTTTCAGAATTGACCTTTCTTGGGTTTACTTCAGGTTACAACGCAAGTGACTCTGCCTCTGAAGAATTGAAGGGTGATGCACTATAAGGTCAAACTTGTATTATTCCTTTCAAAATTATCCCTCAATAAATAAATTGTTCCCAATCATTGGATAACTTGCTTTTTGTTAGGGTTATTCTGTTTCTTGTTACTTAAAGAAAACATAGTTTCCTCACCGATGGAATTATCAGCTGTAATCAGACAGCTATCATGATTTTTATCCCTGTTATGGTAATCCAACTGGGGAATTCTGTTATGTTAATATACTTCTTTGCTTCTGCATTAGGAATTTGTAGTTTATCCAAAATGGCATATCGTTCTGGGTGAATTGGTTCCTAAATGCAATGAAAACATACACACAGAAAAATTACTGTAAGCCAACAGAATCAAGCCTAAAATGAAAGGAGTCCTGGATTGAACCAGGCAATGTTCATGAAAATCTACCTGAGATGTGACTTCAAAGTTGAAGAGATATGGGCAAAAGCTGAAACCCCAGAAGCTGTTGTGGTATAAGGGGGCCCTGGTGAATCAGAATCCCCAATGGTCAGGGGAACATAAGAGCATTTCCAACTATCTAAAGTCCATGATGATATCTCATCGGGAAAAGACCAAATTTTTTCTTTGTAACTCAAATGTAAAATTAGTTATGGACTCTCTTCGATGATTTTGGTAAATGTCTTAAAATCAAGCATAAACCTAAGGTTGCCTTTTGGATGCCTTCAACGGATCAATTCTGTTAGGTGAAATGGTGAACTCTACTAATTGATGGGGAAAAGTTCCACAGATTTGTATGAATCAGATTTATAAAAACAAATGTTACAAAACTTTCTTTTATTGTTTGAATAAATGTTACAACACTTTCTAAAATCAGAATAATACATCATTGTCTAATTCATCTGTAGATTTTGCTTTCCTATTCCTCTGTTCTGGGAACAACCCTTGGTCTCAGATACAAGTTAGGGCAGCCATTTTTCTTTATGCTGGTGTTAAATGGTTTATTCCAGGTATAAGGAAGTGTAAATTCTTTAGATGGTCATTTCTAACAGGACAACGTCATCTGCCTTCTTGTTTGTCATTTCTCCATTCCCATGGCTTCTCAGGATTCGATGAAGCCCACAAACCAACCCGGTTTGCTCGAGCCTCTTTTTCCCACTAGTTATATACATGTAAGGTGTTTAGAATTGACAGCTCTAAGTTTTAACAGAAAGAAGCGTAAGAATGAAGAACTGTTGGTTACTCACAGTTGCAAGTTGTATGCGTTGGTCATAAGCTGAGTAATGCCATGCAAGCCCCTTTTTTAGCATAATTTCCTGTTTGACAGAGAAATTAGAAAAACTAATTGGTTCTTATGAGGTAAGCCAGCAGATGAATGCCATATGAAGTAATACCTGTACAAATTTACCATTGCAATATATATCACAAACACAGCGGCCATAACGATCTTCCCTATAGACAAGAACTCTTAAACATACTCCCTGAACAAGCTTAGCCAACGCTTCTTTTGCATCTTTGCCATATGGCATTGAACTCTCCGGCGCATCTATACCCCTATTTATATTCAGTAACTCATTAATGATTAATCACTGTCATTATAGATGAGATTCAGCTGATGTAACATTGGAATTCAGGAAACATATAATATCACCTTAGCCGGATGCAATACTTTCGAGCAAGGATCTCCTGATTCTGAAGATCTAAGACCCTGGAGTAAGAAGCTAGACTATTAGAAACCATTGGTTTTAAAAGATAATAGCAAGTAGGGCAATCATCTATGTGAGATAAGATAGCTAAACCTTTATCCTGAATCAATAATTTTCTTGTTAAGTGCATCTGCCTTTGTAGAATTCTTTTCGGCAGGTGCTTTTGATCTTTGAACAGTTGCCAATTGGACCCCTCTAGGTACGTTAGATGACTCCCTGGGATCTGTAGTATTTACATACACTGTTATGGTATCTCCATCTGCTACTGCTTGAACATCCACCTAATTTAATCAGACTGTTTTTCAGTTTCAAACCCATTATCCAGGCTGCTTCCATGAATTATAATTTTAAGTTTTGAGAAAGACATTCCTTACGGGTAAAGTCTGCAATTCAAACTTAACTCCTTGAGGCAATGATGTTGGGGACACTAGCAGAAGGCTGGAGAAGCGTATGGGGAAGAGGAAGACCATAGAATGCCAATAGTCCCTACAAATGTTAAAAACACAGATCAATTCCTGTTATCTTATTCTAAGCATTTTGTAACAATGTCAACATGTTTTCAGATTAATGCTGCTGCTTATTCATACCTCAATATCTGCGTTTTGATGTCTCTTTAAGGTCTGAATGACAAGCGTTGAAGCCTCCTCAGGTGTTTTTGGTGGGGCTTTTGCTTCTCTCCAAGCATCTAGTAGCTTTCTATGCCTTCGTTATTTATCAAACTTTAGACAGACCAGGAAATTGAGCAAAAAAAAGTATATGTAAATTAATCATATGATTATTAGTCATAGCACAGGAAGTTAATTAATTAATTACAAGTTAGCCTGAGCCTTCTTCGATGAAACCACATGCTTACTTAGCCCTTCAGGAACCTAAAACAAGTTGGCAAAGGCAATACAATTAAAGTGAATCTTGATTAAACCAATCCAGATTTTCTTTTTAGCTCAAATAGCTTAATAAATACTCGAACTAATCGAATATCAATTTCTAATCTGTCACCATAACCATTAAAATTTACTGTAAGCTAACAAAAATATAAGCAAAATGTAACAGAATTAGAGAAACCAAGCTTTTATTATAGCAGTAATGCTTACAAAAAACATACCTGGGAGGTGATTCCGAGCTGAAAGAGATCATAGGCAAGAGCTGAAACACCAACGTTGGCTGTTGAGACACCATGGGGGCCTAGTGATCCGGAGTCTCCATTGGTAGTTGGCTTGCAGCGATGGCTATACAAGGACCTCAGAGCATTCCCCATATTCATATTCTCTCAAATCTAAATTTTTTTTTTAAGATAGCAGAGATTTAGAATCAAAGGAAAACAAAGCTGTAATAAGAAAAAGGCAAAAGCTGTTGGCTTTTGAAGGGAGGGAGGATGTTAGTAACGTAATAGGTGAGGTTCGGCGAGATCGAGGAATCTGGAGCTTTTTCTCAAACCATAGCAATTTAAAATCTTTATTCTTAAAATAGGATAATTTTAATCTTATTTCCCAAATTAAGGTATTTTAGACATGTCAACCTGCAACATCTTCTTTATCACTATTAGTTTATATAAAAATTAATGAAAATATTGATTTTTTTTTTTTGCAGAGTTCGGATTTTAATAATGAATAAAACGAAAATTTACAACAGGAGGCAAATACCTCGATGAGATTCTCAACCATCAACAAGGAAACACAGAGAAAATACAGAGCTTGGGCATAACCAAGCAAAATCAGAAACAAACTTGCAAACAAGAACTGTTAACCACCAAGCCATGAACATCTCAATTCTATATATCGACCCCTGCTTTTGCTAAATCTTCTGGAATCAGTTTTATGAAATTTCATTAAGCAATCTAGGAGATAAAACTTCAAAACTCCCCAAGTTCTTCTAAAAAAATTGAAGTGAAAAGGTCAGGTACTTTTGGACCTTCACCATCCCAAATAGCAACTTTGAGTTCTTCCATAGAAAAGAGAATCTCCAAATCACCATCTTCACGCACAGACAACAATCTGAATTTCAAGTTAGTTACCATCTGCTTATGCCACTAATCAGCTGCAAAATGTTCTTTGGAGAAATCGAAAATCAATGTCTTAACGGTTTTATGCTCTGAGATCTCCACACCATTATCAACGAGCCCCAAGATAGCACTTCTTCTTGCTCTAACTCTGAAATTACTATTAAAGAATTAGTATTTTTAGCCTCTCATTCAGCCACAAAACTCAATTTCTCAACTCTCTAATTTTAAAAGCACTCCATAATTCCTTAAGTCTCTTTAAAACAAAAGTAATGGATACTTGAGTTCTTGGATCTAAGTTTTAATCAACAAGAATTTTCAACAAATATTTAGATCATTTGAAACTGGAAAAGGGAATGCCTAGGATATATAATATCTCATAAATCTCCATTGTTTGATAAATCTCCTGAGAAGAAACATCAACCTTATCCCTCTGTTCAATCCATTACATCAAGGGTTTCTTCAATCCTTTTTCTTCATGAGATTTTTGACAAAAACACAGCAGGTAGAAAGAGAAAGGAAAGGCTTGAAGGAAGGAGATGATGATGTCGCTTGAAGTACCTTACTTAGGTAAATAAGTTTAATATTATCCCTATTAAAGAATAAAGAATTTAAAATATCCCATCGTCGGAAAAAACTCGAGGAATCTGATGAGGATTTACAAACAGATTACGGAGGGACACGTGGTGAGTTTGGATTGGTGATAGAGATTAAGTGTTTGGCATTTTATGATGAAGATCTCTGTATTGTACGCGGTTAAACTCGCTAGTCAACGGTTTTTGTCGTATGTTGTAAGGACCATGTGCTTGCTTGCATCGCTTGGAGCAATGCCCGGTCCAGGATCACAAGGTCCTTGCAAACCATTTGTAGATATTTATATTTAATATGTGCGATATTATATATTTTAATTTAAAAATTTTATAATTTTATTTTATAAAATAGGTTTCATAAATTTAACATTAAATATTTACTTACATATCATAATAAAATCTTGTATTATTTTTATCTGAAATTAAAGTGTCACAAATTATTTTTGTTAAAATTTAATATGCCCATCAAATTCAATACAAACCACAAAAAAACATTGAATAAACCTAATACAAAGTACATATAAATTACAAAATCACACTAAATATTACGTAAGCCCAACATAAATTTATCGAATCACATTAAATATTGAGTAAACTCAATATAAAGCATACACTGATAACAAATTATACTAAACATTAGATTTTAAAAATAGCTTCTATCATATAACATTTAGTTCTTATAAAATTTTAGAATTGACTCTCATGATATAACACTTAACTCTCGTTAAATTGATAACTGCTATGATATTATTTGTGAAAATCATTACTCAACTTGAAGATATTAAACATTTTAACTCAAATATCACATAATTTTATCTTATAAAAAATATTTCACAAATTTAAAATTAATTTTTTACTTATATATTATAACAAAATCTCATATTATTTTAATATGAGATTAGAATGTCACAGTTTCATGCCTCTTCCATCTAATATAATTCTCACAGCATCTTTCCCCAAGACTGGAGCTAGCCACATGGCTATGAAGGCTCTCACCCTCTCAATTCTTGGCCATAAGAACTCAATATCTGAAACCAACAAACAACAGGTTGTTCTGCTATCAAACAAGAATCCCCACGAGTTATTCCGTGTCCTTGAAACCGAAATTAACATTGGTGAAAACCCGTCCAAGGACATCATTTTACTTCCTTCACCGAGAGTTTTCAACACTCACCTCTCAATCTTACCGGATCATATCGAGAACTCAGGCTGCCTTATCGTGTACGTCGCATGTCATCCGGCAGACACAATTGTGTCCCTTTCGCATGTCTGTAACAAGCAGTTTGGCAACACAATCTCCCTGGAAGAGGCCTTTCATGAGTTATGTCAAGGCTTTCTTTGTGCCTGCTGGTTCATACTTCGACCATGTACCCAAAAAAGAATTAATGATGCAAATTGGTCACGAGTCATATATTTATGAATTCAAATCAAATATTATTATTTCTGTGTCATGATATGACATATTCATCGAAAATGAAGAAAGAATCACCCAAAAAAGGATATTGGTATGGCCCGCCCTCTTCCCAAAAAACGCTAAATGGCATATATATATATATATATATATATATATATATATTAATAATGGAATAAGCGGTTCATAATCGAGCATTCAAAATACCTTGGTCCTATAACGTTTTTAATTTTGTATTGAAAGAATATATAAGTATGATATAATATATATAAATATTTAAATTTATGAGATAAATAAAATAATGAGATCATCGAATCAAAATAAATAATATCTTACAGATTATATTTGAATTTATAAATAAATTATAACACTCATAATCTCATATTAAAAGAATGTGTGGATATGATATATATGTAGAGATTTAAATTTAAATCTATAAAGCTTTTTTTTTATATGTAAAATCATGAGATTTTCGAATCAAAATGGATAATACTTTGCACATTAAGTGTGAGAACTAAGTGCTACGTGAAAATTACTTTTAAAATCTTAATATCTCTAGAATCTCAATGTCTGATGTGATTTTGGTCTTATAGTTAAATAGTATGATATATTTATGAAAATCTAAACTACAAATTATCAAACTTGTAGGAAGATTATAATATTTTTAATGTCATATTAAAAAAAAATGTGTGGATATAATATGATATATTTGTGAAAATTTAAATTCAAATTTATATTTTTTTTATAAATAAAATTACAAAACTTTTAAATTAAAATAAATAATATTTCCGGTATTGAGTGCAAAGTCACAGCCCAACATCCTTTGTAAGTAGATTCTTTAACTAAATTAAGTTCCTTTTAACTCACTAGATATTTGGCTGGCAAGCATCAATAACTCTTTTGCTGTATGTATCCCAAAAAGTAATTCGTGGCTTCACTGCCTCTACATAGCAATGATGCATTTGCCGACCATATGTGCGGACTGCGGTGGCTCATCCCTAACAAAGTCAACAAATTGTTGGAATAAAGGCATCTTTTAACAAAAGCCAAAAGAAAATTCCCCATCAATCACGTAGGGAATCCAATACCTCACTTTGAACTGTATATTTATGAGCTTCAAGGCCACCCCTCCACCAAAACACTTGTTCCTTTCCCTCTTTCTCTACTACTTAACACTTTCAATTACTGCTGCAAATTCATTAACAGCAATGGCCAATGTAAGTAATCAATTCTTTTTACACAGTAGTAATGGGTTTTTTTTTTACACAGTTGTAATGGTTTTTATATCTTTTTATGTAAAAGGTAGTGGAACTGAAAGTGGGTTTGCATTGTGAGGAATGTATCAAGAAAATCCTGAAGGCCATCAAGAAGATAGAGGGTATAAAAAACGTATGAAAGATTAACCAATATGTTTTCTTCTTCTTCTTCTAAGATTAACCCTTAAATTTTGCGTGTTTATGGGTGGCAGATATTGAAACATACAACGTAGATACTAAGCTGAACAAGGTTATAGTGACGGGCAATGTCTCCACCGACCAAGTCGTCAGAGTTCTTCAGAAGATCGGCAAACAAGCAACCATTTGGGCGTCTGATAATCACCAATGTTGATTTTTTTTTCCTACTTTTACTACTATTTTCCATTGCAATATTTAGTTATAAGTAGTATTTTTATTGCAAATATGTAGAATAAACAAATTATATTTAGACCCTTTTTTTTTGTTGTTCTTTTTGGATTTCTATTTTTACTACTATTTCTAATTTTTTATTGCAATTTTTGACAATCTCATTCGTTTTCCTCCTTTGGAAAAAGAATATAACAGCCCAAAAAAGAAAAAGAAAAAAAAGCAAGATCTGAGTTTACTATACTTAATTGACTTTTTAGACCCGGTCGAGTTAACTGAGTCTCTTCCGTCTGGGATCATCAGAAGAACACCTGAAAGAAAGCCTGTGAAAGATGCTTCCATTTTCTTTCTTGTGATAGCACTACTTCTTATAGCAATAGTTGGTGATAATGTTGGACTTCAGTTCATGTACGGACCTTTTATTCTAGGCCTGACAGTGCCAACGGGACCTCCCTTAGCATCAATTCTGACAGAAAAATTAGACACCATGGTAACAGGCTGGATGCTGCCACTTATGTCAAGTTATTGTGGATACAAATTCAATCTACGGGAATTGAACAGGAGGCCACCTGCTTTTGTAGTTTTTTAATTACTTCAGGTTTTTGCTGAAAACAACCTGTGGGTTTATTCCTGCAATCTGTTTCAAAATGCCTTGCAAGGATGCCGCTGCACTTTCATTGATGTTGAGTGCAGCTATTACGGTCTACACCAACTAGTGAGACATTATTCCTTTTCGTGTGTACAATTTTATGGTTTTGTGTGTTTTGTTTTAGGTTTGATGAAGACCTTACGGAGAGTTTGTGATACTCCAATTTTATATTATGATATTTTAAAGATCTTGTATAATATATAAGTTGAGATTTAACTCTAAACTTGTAAAATATTTTTTATAAGATAAAATCATAAATTTTTTGAATTAAAGTGAATAATTTCTCTCACTGGTTGAATACAAATTTCTACAACAGATTGGAAAATTAAGAAGAATACAATGCAAGTCCAAATACGAGACCCATTAGGAAAATGTCAATGGATTCCGATTGCAACATTAGCATCTTCATGCAGAGATTGCTTTATGGGGGATTTTTCCTTCTGCAAATACTTCTCGGATGTTCCATAAATTGCCAATCAGATATCACAAAGATTGTTATAAGTCCATCAATTCACATATTGGGCCTTTAGGATATTGTTTTCTGTGGAAAACTTATCACAATTGAACTTATGGAGATCAAGTAGGATTCAGGGACATCCTTGCCCAGTGTTGGACATCCCTTCTTGCTACTGCTAATCATATATCACCATAGATTCTGTGTTACTGCTTTTCAGCTTAATCACTATTTGCCTTCTTTGTTGGCTTGCTTTCGAAATTCTAACAGGATTTTCATACCCTTACAAGGTTAACTATTTTACAATAAAAAGTTAATATATAAAATTTTCCACCCATAAAAGAAAAAAAATGAAGTATTTTAACCTATAAATATTTTGGAGCCAACCTCAAGTTATGGGTTGAGGGATATCTGATATCGTTGCTCTTTAGTATTTTGAGGAAGCAAGGAGATAGAAGAATAAAATCCAATTCTAAACAGATCAAGTAATTTGAATTAAGAAAGTTGTATATAAGGAAAAAAAAAATAATTGAATGAAATAACTGATCTGCTAATATAAATTTTACTTAAATGGTTGGCTGCAATTGGTGAAATAGCTAAAATTTTGTCACTCATCTATAGATATACCTCTGCTTCCTGTAATACTGGCATGACAACTCAGGATAACATGATTCAATTATGACTAAAGGAAACACAAGCATTCTTTGTGTAAATGCGTTTCCAAGAATATATCTTACTACGGTAACTCTCTTAATTTTATGATAATTATGGTTTGAATCGAATCAGATTCGATCTGATTTTTTTTTAATATTATGTATATTATAAATTTTAAAATCTGATCTAAATATAAATTTGAAGTTTTATTCGATCCGAATCGAATCTAATTGAATTTTATTAGGTTGATTTAATTTATTGATTTTTTAAATTTAAATTTTTTAGTTTTATAAATTATTTTAATATAAAATTTTAATATATTTAAATAGATTTTGATATAAAATTATTATTTTTATTTTATACAAATTTAAAAAATATATAATTTATTTATTTTTCGATTTAAACTTAATATATAAATTTAATATTCAAATTTAATTCAAATCAAATAAAAAATTAATTTAAATCAAACTAAATATTATAATTTTAAATCAATTTTTGATTTTTTCTATCTTTTCTTTCGCCCGCGTTCAAAATCCCAATCGAAACCCAAAAGTCAAACTTAATCCGTAAAAAACAAACTGTCCAAATGAGTGATAGACGGGCTACTAAGTTCTAAGAAATCCAAGAACTAGAATTGACATATTTACATTGGATACCCAGTCCAAATACATTATAAATATATAAGAGAAGAAAAGAAGACGGTTCAGACGGAGACAAGGAAAGGAAAAGGAAAAGAAAAGAACAGAAAATACAAGGCCAAGGCCCTTGACTTAATGAATTAATTTTTGTCGTTCATGAAGGACAATTTGATTGAATTTATGACATAGGGGCTGACTTGTGGGGAGAGGAACTGAGAACGCGGAACTTATTTTATTTACAGACAAATAGATGTTGAAAACAGGTATGACTCATGGTTTTGACGTTAGAGGCTTTATACATCATCCCATGAGTACCAAGGATGTTACTTTCATTGGGACATTTTCTTGGTTTCATGTCTGGAATAATTCAAGGCATTCCCATGTCTCCAAGTTTGAAAAGAAACAATAATTTCTGCTTAAACATCAATAATTTTTTGTTGGCAAACAAGGGCCAGCTTGCTTTGTTCTAATTACTGAATATTTTTAATGATTGTATCAACAATCAACAGCCTGTTTTCTTTTGGCTTGGCAAGCGATTGAAAGTCGTATATGTATTTTTTTGATAATCAATCACCAGTAATTTTATATTGTGCATTGACCAAACTTTCTCTTTTTTAATTAGTTGTAGTTTATAGAATTTCACCTTGTAATGTTTCGTGGTTTTAAACAAGATGAAATGGACTGGTTTGATTTTGACAAAGTCAAAAGTAAAACAATATTCACAATTGAAAACTTAAATATATTATGATGCAATCATATTTTTTATAATATCTGTTTGTGTCGAGTTTTGAATTGAAAATTAGAGCTTTGAAATCACAAGAAAGAAAAAGAAAGTGACTATGGGTAAAGGTAAAGTTGTTTTTTATGTTTGCATTCTAATGATCAAATTAGAAATTAAACAAGAAAAGACAAAAGAAAAGAAAAATACAAAAATATGAAAAATTATATATTAGATAAATAGTATATAAATGGTTTTATTTATAAGCAAAGATAAAAAATTTATAAGATAAAATAATGATATAATCGAACTGACGTCACATTATATATATCAGATCAATTCAAAAGTAAAAAATGCACTTACCTACTTGCTATAAGTTTATAATAAAATAAAAGTTCAATTTACTCTCTAAACCTAAAAGTACTCCTAACAATTTTTTTTCCCTCCTAAAGGTTCAAATATTTATCTCTAGTTAAAAATAAATAAAATCTATCTATAGTTTACTAAGTTACGAGGATATGACAATAATGCAAGTCATGGGTTTATTAGATGTGACCCGAAGAAGCAACTAGTAAACAATTTTCTAATACCTCCACCTCACCCAAAGAAGAGTATAATTTTCATTTTGGGCCAAACCCATATCATAGTTTAATTGCTTGAAGATACTCGATTAATTTTATACAACCAGTTTTTTAGTTAAGAGGGCACAATTTGACATAAAAAAAGAAGTTATAAATTAAAATTCGAATAAGTTTTATTCAGAATCTTATATTAACATTTTGGTTATGGGTGATTAATTGATTGATGGGTGCTATAGTTGCATTTTTAAGGAAGTTCCTCTTATATTCTCCCAATAACAAAAGTTGTCAGCTTGCAAGATTCTTAATTGGCAAATTCTTTTGCTGTTAGGGAACCTCACTTTTTTAGGACAAGTATCCTTAAACGCTTACCCTTTTCAGCTACTTCCCACAAACTTCCTTCTCAGCCTGTCCTTCAACTTAATGAAACTTCTACCCAACTTTCCCATTTCACATGATGTTCTTCCTCTCAAATTCTTCAATAAAATACTATTCTCAGGCTTCAACCGCGTGAAATTCTCATCAAACTAATGATTCACAAAAGTCAAGTCACCGTCAAAACGCACCGCGTTCACATCTGCAGATACCCACACGCTTGCTTAACCCGCTGACTCTCTTTTTTTCTTCCTCTCTAAAGTCTAAATCTCTATATATAAATGACTAATTGTCATACCCTAAGTTCCCAACTCGAAATTTCAAGCATTCACATTTCATAGGTCCAGGATTTACTCAATCACTCTTGTCTTAGAAACAGAATATGGACATCACTTCTTTCACATTTCTTGGTCCGGAAGATAATTATTATAATATCAGCAGCCCCTGGTTCCAGGAGGTTGACAACGGATTCAATAAAAAGCGTAAAAAGGAAGACGAATCCTTGGGCGGGGGTGGCAATGACAATGGATTCTTCAATGAAGAAGAGTTGAAGAAGAGTGGGTATGGAGATATCCTTGCCTCTTTGTTGTTATTAGAAGAAGAAGCAAAGGAAGAGCAAGATCAGAGGATAACTGAATCCCAACAAGACAAAGTTTTGTTCGAGTCCAATCACAAAAGAAAAGTTGAAGCAATGAATGAATATTATAATCAGCTTCAACAGGATTTTTCTGAAGTTGATCATTTGGATAGTTTAAATATAAAACGAGCGAGGAAATCAGCCTCTGCTTTGGCCGCTACTGTTGCAACAACAGCAGGGGATGACAATGTCAATGTGGGCAATGAGACGAGTAGTGGTTCGGGTCAGCAGAGGAGATTATGGGTGAAGGATCGATCAAAGGACTGGTGGGATCGTTGTAACCATCCGGATTTTCCAGAGGAAGAGTTCCGAAAGGCGTTTCGGATGAGTAAAGCTACGTTTGGAATGATATGCAAGGAGTTGGAGCCTGTGGTGATGAAAAAGAATACCATGTTGAGGGATGCAATCCCTGTTCGGCAGCGAGTGGCTGTTTGTATTTGGAGGTTGGCTACAGGGGAGCCACTTAGGCTGGTTTCGAAACGGTTTGGCGTGGGAATTTCAACTTGTCATAAGCTGGTACTGGAGGTATGTTCAGCTATAAAAACCGTTTTGATGCCCAAGTTTCTTCAATGGCCTGATGAAAACAAAATGAAAGAAAATAAGGAAGCATTCGCGTCAATGTCAGGGGTTCCTAATGTAGGAGGTTCAATGTACACAACTCATGTGCCAATTATAGCACCTAAGGTTAACGTAGCAGCATATTTCAATAGAAGGCATACGGAGAGGAATCAGAAGCCTTCTTACTCGATTACAGTCCAAGGGGTAGTCGATCAGAAAGGGATTTTTACAGATGTATGTATTGGATGGCCTGGTTCAATGCATGATGATCAGGTGTTGGAGAAGTCGGCTTTGTACCAGAGGGCTAATAAAGGGTGTTTGAAGGATGTTTCAATTGTTGGGAATTCCGGGTACCCTTTGATGGATTGGGCTTTGGTTCCTTACACCCACCAGAATTTGACTTGGGCTCAGCATGGTTTCAATGAAAAAATTGGTGGGATTCAAAACGTTGCTAAGGAGGCATTTACGAGATTAAAAGGGAGGTGGTCTTGCTTGCATAAGAGAACTGAAGTAAAGCTCCAGGAGTTGCCAATCGTGATTGGGGCTTGCTGTGTTTTGCATAACATTTGTCAGATGAGCAGTGAGGAGATGGAACCTGAACTACAGTTTCAGCTTTTTGATGATGAGATGATACCTGAGAATAACTTGAGGTCTGCGAATGCTGTGCTTGCCAGGGATCACATTGCACACAACCTGTTACACCATAGCCTTGGAGGAACTGGTTTTCTCTAGTGTTTTGAGAATCATGTCAGCTATACACCTTTAATACTTTTTGAGACCCCAAAATCTTCCAACAACAGCACACATTGCAACCATTCATCATGTAAAAAGGAAGTGGTAGGAAAGAAAATAATAATTTAATGATGCGCCACGATGAAACCTAACATTTAGTTCATCATTAAATTATTATTATTATTTAACATTTAATATGTATGAGAAAACAATAATTTAGTAATGAGCTATTGTGATACTTAAAACATATAGTTCAATAATAATTGATGCACCTCTTAAAGAGTAAGGTCAATATTTTTTTTCCAAATAAAAAAAAAACCATGTTATCACCTTGTTAATGATCTCCTCCAACAAAATGATTGTCTGAGCATTGCAACAAATATCTAAAAGCTAAGCATACAAAAGATTTAACTGATACAATTGATAAGCCTCTCCTCATTCTATAATATATGCTTTAAACAACAACTATTCCATTGTTTCATGGGAGTTCAACTGACTTCATGAAATGATGGCAAGACAGCAATTAGTGGGTCTCCATAGCCAATAGCATCTGTGCAACACAGTTGAAACAATGGCAGAGTTCATATATCAGACATGTTGTAGAACCATCCACAATGTTTCAAGAAAACTTGTCTGAACTCAACTATCATGAAAACTAAAAGCTGTAAATTGGCCAGGTCTTATAAACCAACAAAGCAAGGACTCTAAAACATTCATCCTTCTCCTAGTAACAAACATAACAATATAAAATGGAAAAAGACATTATACCTCCATCATCAACGAGAAGCTTCAAGACTTCGCCAGCAACATTTGACTGTAAACAAATCAATGACACACACCATTAGACACCTACTTAATAAAGAAAAACCATAACTAACAAATAAAAATAATTTGAATTCACCTGAACAGGAAGTTCAGTACCAAATTGATCCAAGAATGCTATCACTTGTCCTTCTTCGATCGAATCACCCTGGAAGGAAAAACTTACTGCATTAATTCTTTTGGGGAAAGGCCATTAGTATCTCCTATAATTTAGCTCCTAGACAGTGCAGGTAACAATACACCTTGACAGATGAAAAAATTTGAAACACATGGAAACACAAATATTTAGAAAAAAGATAGGCTAATTAACAACTTGACAAATCTCCATTATTTTAATCAGACAGGAACTACTACCTCCTGGAAGATGGGAGGTAGCTTCTTTCCTTTCACTGTTTTACCCCTTCGGAATGTGCCAACCTGTAGTAAAGTGATGGTAGTTGTAAGGACAGAGTTCCAAACAAATAAAAAAGAGATCATAGCACTTTCTCCTGATAAACAGCACATACCATCGGAGAAGGTACTAGAACATAGTTATTAGATCCAGAAGCTTCCAAGGCAGCTAACTTGTATGACTTCCTAAAGGCAACATTTATAAATGGAGTAGGCTTCTCTGAAGAAAGTTTTGGTGGTGAAGGAGGTGAGGTGACAGCAGCTGATTCATTCATTGGTCTAGTTGGGATTGGTGGAGCTGTTGTAGGTGAACTGTTGGACAAGGGAGCTTTTGTGGCACCAACATTCCGTTTCATATGCATTTCAAAGTCTCCAATCTGTCACAAAGCAACAGATAACCTGTTTGAAAAAATATTTTGGGAAAATGCAACATTCTTAAAAGGAAACTAAAAACCTACACTGGCTAGCTTCATTACATTCATTCAATGATCAAATGAGAAACATGGAAGGTTTCATCACTTATGATTTTCACATAAGTGCAAAGACATATCTTTACACGAAATTTCAGGTTAATCATTGAGCAGGGAGAATAAGTTTAGCAGAAGTATGCAAGCATATCTCATGGCAAGAGAAAAGGAAGTAACCTTCATTTTCAGCTCAGCAACCTCAGTCTCATCACACACCTCCAGTACCAAAGCCTAACAGTTTAAACAATTAATATGTTAGTTATCTAGCCAATTAGAATCAAATGAAAGATTTTGTTAGATAAATATGAAAGGAGCAAAAGGTACATCGAAAGAATGATAAACATAAGAAAATAAGTGAAAAGAAGACTCATCAAGAAGAAAACAGCCATAAACATGGTAGAAACAACTTAACAGTAACATAAAGATAGAAATATGCATTCCCAAAGCAGAATACTTGATATACAGAAAATCGGATTAGTATATTTTCAAGGCACTTGAAGCATTGCCCCAAAGGTACATGGTTTTGTTAACGTTCAAAACACAGAATAATTTAAAGATAGTATTTCAGTCACAAAGTTTGTTTAACTCCTAGCAGTATTACTAATTTTTAGGTCCAAATGAGGCAGATACCAATATTAAGCTAAACAACATAAATCAAGTTGTTTAGAATCTAAGAAACAATGATGAACCAACTTGAAAACATAAATGCAATCACAGAAAAGAAAACATTATATATCATTTTATAGCACCAATAAACTTTTCTCAAAAAGAATCGAGCGATGACAATCAAGAATGGAAAAGAGACTCAATTTGAAAATTTAATCGTCACCTCAAATCCATTTGGAAAAGTTGCATTCCGTGAAGTTTTCTTCTCCAATGAGCCTTGTGTGCTGCTATCTAACGGAATGATGGCAACCATAATTAACAACTTTTAGCATGCAACAAGCAGAAAATATGCTAAGGCTATAATGTAATTACATAATAAATGCATTTAAAAAAACCATCTTGCTTTCAGTATTTTTACAAAAATGTGATTTTGCTGTCTATAACTAGATAAATCAGTAACGAGTGAAGAGCTATGCCAGAACAGATTGAAAACTCAAATGCAACAGTGATTAGTATTAGCACTGTCCCTTGGTTGAATTGCAGTTAAACTACAATTAACAAATTTAAGGAAAACGAGGACCATCAGACAAATTTTTAATCAGAAGTCAATATAAACTCACCTTTTAACATGGATGAAACAGAAGCTTCAGGTGTCTTCACACATGATATTAGAGTTACATTTCGTCTTGCAGAAGAATTGTTCTTCCCGCCAAACATCAAGCCAGCGACACATGATTTTCTTGAAGTGGGCCAGCAGCCAGAATACATATGAATGGTACTGGGCCTTTCAAGTGAGCAATGTGTTGGTGAAATAGCACCTACAGAATCTAAAATTTTAATAACAGCATATCAGCTTTCAATGGCAAATAAATCCACATATTCAATATTTAAATTCATAAAATTACATACACACAACAATAATTGCTAATGTAAAGAAATTCAAAAACAATATGATGAGAAATGGATGCCAACAAAGCACCAGCAAAGCCAACATCGGATCATGTTATCAGTACCAAGGATATCACAAAATAAATGCAGTAGAAGAAACATGATTTACAAAGTATCTCAACCAAAAAACTCCATAAACCAAGGAATAAAACATTCCTAACGCTGAAACTGTTCAACATCCATTGATTCTGTTGTGTGAAGGTTAGAGGAAAAGATAGTTCACTTGGCAATTTAAGAATGAAATTCAGCACCGTCTTTTTGCCTTTCAGTTTTTCCTTTTTTTATATGGAGAGGGCATTGGGATATTGAAAAGCTTAAAACAATCTATGAAAGAGATCATTTTCCGACTTTTCCAAGCAATATCCTCCAAATTTTCAAAAAAAAAAAAAAAAACCCTTAGAATAGGATAATATGCCAATCTTATATTTCTAACCAAATAAAGAAACTGAAATATAAGCCATTTCTAAAAGAGCTTCCAAAATTAGCTTCAGCTAGATAACTACAAACACCCAAAGATACCTTCTTTTCTTCCTTTTTTTTCTTTTCTGAATATTGATTATCGAAGAATGACCCAAGCATGATCCCAAAAACCGAAACTTTGATACAAATCATAGTAAGCTAACTTAACATTCTCGATTGATATTCATAGCATGAAAACTAAAGGCAGATATTTTGCATTTTCTTGAGCTAATTTCAATTTTCTAAACGCCGAAAGCTATACAATTTACACTAAATTGTCAAAAATTCCAAAAAATAAAGACAATTAATAGATCAGAAACAGATATAAAACACTCAAAAACGATTAAAAAATGTAACCGTTTATTCAACGATTGGAAACATCAATAAGCTCTCTTATCGTTCCTTTTCTCTATCTGTTTCCAATGAAACTACACAAAACTCAATCAAACAAGCGAAATACGAGAGAGAGAGAGAGAGAGAGGTACAGTGAAAAGATAGGAGAGCGGCGGAGGACTCCATTGGAAGAGACGGAGAGGATTTGGATCGGCAATGAGCGGCCAGAGACAGACGGAAGATATAGTGGAAAAAGCAGGGGCAAAATCGAGAAAAGTATGTGATAAAAGAGCAGCTTCGAAATGTCCGCCCCTTTGTCCTCAGTTTCTCCACCCAAGCTGGAAGCTAAAAGCTTGTATCCCTCTAACGTGCGCGAAGGTGTTGCTCGCCTCGTGCTTACGTGGCAGCTCCTTCGAAATTTTATTAATCAATCTGGTAAGTGAGCCCATTGACTTTGGACCAGCTCAATGCTTCTGCTTTGGTAACCCCAAACTGTTGCCCAATATAAGTCTTTTTTAGCAGCCGAAAATGGAACTTCGCCCATTGATGGAAGTCTTTATCTGGGGAATAATCGATCCAAGCTCAGTCGATATGGTTAAAAACTCAAGTTTCATTCGAAATTTATTATTAAAAATTCAGTTTAAATTTAATTAAATTTTAAATTTAAATTTGACTCGAAATAAAAATTAAATTATTCGAATTCATTTGATTATATTCACTTATCAAATAAATAAAAAATTTAATTTTCATGTTTAACTTCAAACTCGATAATTTATATTTGAATTTAAGTTTAAATTCATATATAAAAGTAAAATAATAATTTTTTAACTAAAATATATTAAAACATAAATACTCAATAAAGAATCATAAGTTACTTGAATCAAATATTAAAAAACTCAAACTCGATTCATTCAATAAATTAATTATACAAAAAAATTTCTTCGAGTCGGGAGGCTAAAGAAAAAGTGCTGAAAAAAGTTGAAAAGTTTTCTATTTTTATAGCTAGTTTTCTAGTTAGAATTGATATGTTCGTACCTCTCGAACAATCTAATATGAATAACTCGCTATTCGCTCGGGTTATCGGCCATAATAATTATTGTAGGAGAGATGGCCGAGTGGTTCAAGCGTAGCATTGGAACTGCTATGTAGACTTTTGTTTACCGAGGGTTCGAATCCCTCTCTTTCCGCACCTTCACCTAATTTCGCCAATGTAACTGACTACAATGTATCAAATCAAATAAGAACAGATACTAAAGAGTTAGACCCTTCTTAATTCGTATAATTTATGAGTGCTGATATATTTTTTACGCTCTTAATCTTGACGGTTTAACAAATGCTTCTATTTTTCTTCTTTTATAATTTTTATCCGGCCATGATTCTAAATGATGGGTGGAAAAGAACAAAAACAAGATTTTGTATAAATTTTTCCTAGAATGAGAATTTAATATGTTTATTATATTATTATTATTATTATTATTATTATTACAAAATGTAGTATAATTTTACTTCTATACTTCGATTATTTAGAAGAGAACATAGTTTTCACATCATAATCCATTTGTTAGCATGTAATAACCTAATGAATTTAAAGGAAAAAAGTAGAGATAATTGGTTATTTTAAAACAACACAAGAGGATAGGAAAATCTGACCACTTCCCAGTTTCCTCACTATTAATCTTCAATATTAGTTGTAATTTTATTAAGGAATAAAGGTCAAAAAGGCTTCTAAATTAAAATTAAAAAATCATCTAAGTTTTTATTTTTTTTCAAACAATTAAACCTTTAAATATTTATTTTCATTGATTGATCTCTTCTTAGAAAAAAAATGGCTAGCTATTTTTGTTCAATAGAGAATTAATTAAGTAAAAATAGATATTTAAGAGTTCAATTGAATAAAAATAAATATTTAAAAATTTAATTGATTCGAAATAAAAAATTTATAATTTAATTTATTGTAATAAAATGTTAGAAATTTAAATGATTATCTATTCGAAATTGAAGAATTTGATCACTTCCCAATTTCCATACTATTAAATAACCTTCAATATCATCAATAGCCACTTTATTAAGACAAAAGGGTCAAAAAAAGCCTCTAAACTAAAATTTAAAAATCATCCAAATTTTATTATTTTTTAATCAATTAAACCATCAAATATTTATTTTTATCGATTGAGCCCTTCTTAGAAGAAAAATAATTATCAATTTTCATCTAATCAAGGATTTAATTAAATAAAAATAAATGTTTAAAAATTTAACTAATTTAAAATAAAAAATTCAGAACTTAATTGATTGCAATAAAATGTTAATACTTAAATGATTAATAAAGTTTTATTTGAAGGTTTTTTAGACCCCTATGCCTTTTATTTACTAGCAATAGAATACAAATTGCATAAGATAACATAAACATTTAGATAAATTGCATAAGATAACATAAACATTTAGATGCTAACTCAATAAAAGGGGGGAGGTTTAATAGAAAAGAAGCTTGGGAGTTGAGAACAAGAAGTTATTATATATTCATGGCCCTTTTATCAGTTAATGTTTAATCTGTTTGTAATTAAGAAATGTTGAGATGAAAGATTTCTCCGAATTCCAGCCTTCTAGTTTCATTGTAAAATGTTCTATGTTTATTAGGCCAATATGTTAACCAAATCCAACCTCTGATTTCCCATTCCATCGTCTTTCCCATAGCACTCTTGTCAACCTTCCACCAAATTTTTTCTCCGTATTCATCCCCCGCAAAAATCACCCCTCCTTGCCTGGTGAAAGGCCTGTAAACACTAGAGTACCGATCTTTGAACCAAGCCTTGGGATTGATCAAAGCAAATTTTGAAGGCTTTGAGGACACCACCTCCCTTCCATCCACGCTGTCATGAAGAAACCAATTCAATGCCCCGCTGTAGCCGTTTACAGATAGCTCAAATTTCCATGGCTTCATGCTCATTGTCATGGTCTCCCCGACTGAAACCTTTAGTCCCAAGAACGAGTTTGGAGGATCAAATGAGCTTTCTATGCCTCTCTCCATTTCTATTTCTCTTTCTGGGTTCTCTGTAGATTTGCTTACTGAAACACTTAATATATTGGACTGAATAGTTGGAGTCACTTGCAATGATACTCGTGAAGGGAAATGTTTATCATCTGCCCCAACTCCTCGTTCGTTCATTAGAGTCTCATTTAAAAGCCGAATAATATTGCATCTGCAATTGCACATATAGGATAATATAATACCACATCAGGCTTATAATTCAATCCAAATTTTTTTGAATAATGAAAACTAGATGTGCTTGCCTTATGTTATCAATGTTCACCATGACATTTATCCATTTTTCTTGAACTATGACCTTGTAATTGAACTGGATAACCCCTTCAAGCTGGTGGTAATTAAGGGAGAACAGCAGCCTCTCATCAACAGAATGATTGCTTGAATTTTCTATATCCATGGCTATGACAGGACAATATAGTTGAACTTTCCATAAACCAAATGTTGCAAGTGCATAAGAAAACATGGGTGATGGTGTCTTCACCAGGGTGCGGTGTGTAGCTTGAAGCTCTATGATCCAATTAGTGATGGCAAGGTTTATGGACCGCATCCATTGCTCCTCCAAGTTTGATCCCAGGAGTTTCATCAGCAATTTTGAAGCTTCCCTCAATTGAGAACTTGTTAGTTCTTTCTTGAGAGTGTTGAGACATGATGAACGGAGATCAACAGGAGCTTCATAGATGCAAATAAGAAGTGCAAGAGTGAGAAATGGAAGATTAAAGATGTCTTTGAAACCAGAAATGGATTCGAGCTTCGGAAACCTGATCAAGCAGTTGTTCTTGTTTGAGCCATAGCTTAGAACATCTTTAATAACATTGATCATGAGGCAGGAAATGGCTTCTTCATCTAATAGTTTTGAACGCTTGGAGCTGATGTTTAAGGGTTTTGAGGCCCAAAGTGGAACGGGGACACTGAAATCAGCAATTATGGAGATGGAAATTGTTGAAGAATGAAGGTTTTTGGACACAGACAGGTTGAGGGATGGATAGGATGAACATGAAGAAGAAGAAGAACATATACAAATAGACATGGAATTTGCTTTCCATTGAGCAATTGGAGGAAGATTTTGAATCCAGGTAAACACATCAGGATTGCAGCAGGATGCCATTGATCTTTTAATTTTGTTTTGTCTATGAACAATTCATATGGATGATCTCTTTATTTAAAGGCAATACATGCAAAACTAAGATTCTTATGGGGAAGGAAAGTCAAAAAAAAAACAAGGGAATCAATGCTTGGTTAGATAGAAGAATATAGATCTGCCCTTTTGTATAGAGAAAGCAACTCTCTTTCAAGTTGGATAATTTTACAAGGAAATTTGTCACTTCAAGATTCCTATCATTATTGGCTTAATGATGATTGTATAATGAAAAAGAGAAGAAAAAGACTTTGTTTGGATGATAACAATGAAATGAATATTATCTGGCAAGTTAGAGACATGTCATACATCCAAGATTTATTTTTAAGTAGAGTTGTTTTTTTTTTTTTTCTTAATTTAGGGTTTAATTTAATTGATCAATATAATTTTTTTTATTTTTAAATTGTAATTTCTTTTATATAAAAAATATTATTTTCTAAAAACTTATAAAAGAGTAATTCAATTCATAAAGAAGTTTTTTTTTTTTTTTTTTTTGTCAATTTGGATTTAATCTAGAGCAAACATGAAGATAGTACTCTTAAAATACTTTTAAATAAAATTCTGAATGCATCATATCCACATAGTAGAATTCGTCCTTAAATCGTTCACGATGGGATTAAGCTTAATTTTGCATTAGAAAATGTTGTTCTCTTGAATAAACATGAAGATAGTAATTACTTGTAAAACATGATCTGATAAATTAAGTAACAAAACATTTTGAAAATGGAAGCAAGCATTTGGTGTTGAATTCCAATTTAATTCCCGAAGGAGCAGGGACATCAACGCTAGAGTATGAGGTGGATAAAGCAATTTTTATTTTCATCTTCGATTTTTATATTACATTTATCCTGCACCATATCTAAAAAATATTTTAAATTTATTCATAATCTCATCTTTATAAAGATATTTAATGAATACAAATAATTTTCGTACTTGTCATTTATTTTTTAAAAATAAAAAAATAAATTTATTTTTTATTTTTATCTTACATATTTATATAATTTCTTATAAATATATTTTAAAATGAAAATACATCAATTCTAATTATTCGAATAGTAATTTATATTATTTAACAAAAAATTATTTATTAAATATATATACGACATGAATATAAATATGAAATGAATGTTATATTATTTATTCTCGTCTTTATATCTTATAAAAAATTTAAAATCATATATATCTCTATTTGTATATTCAATATATAATATTTATTGTTATTCAAATAAAAAAATTAAATTTCTTATTAAATATGAATAAAATTAATATTTCTACCAAAGAAACTTGTAGACCTAAAAGTAGTTAGGACGGAAGAATCATTGTTTGCTTAGATAAGAAGATTATAGTTAAAGCGATGAAGTGTAAATAATGCTTTTGGAGCTCATGCACTCTATATTGGGATTTTCAAAACGTGTAGGAAAGAATATAGTATATTTTTTGTTGTTAAAATAAGCAAATTCAAGTGGAAAATGGCTGATGCTCTAAATTAAAGATCTAGTCACTTGGCTTTAAAGCCTATTTGTTCTTTTCCGTCACCACTCAATAAGTTGTTTTACCAATTTTTTCAAAGTATTTATAATAATAAATTCTAATTTAATTTGTTTATATAATTATTTTTAATAGATTTCATAATTTAAAACATGACACGATTATATAATACAAATATATGATACGAAAGTTACACGATTTAAGATCCTAATAATAATTATATTTAAATTTAATAAAATAAAAAATATATTTTATATTTTAATATCGACACGAATTATTATATATAATTTTTATATAAAATATGATATAAATACATAACTTTTAATGTTTTATGTGACACAAATACATAAATTGTCAAATTTAATTTTTATGATGTTAATAGTTTTAGAATAAATTTTAGCTATGTAACTCTTTTATATTTAGATTACGATATTCTTTGTAAAAAATAATTAAGTGATAATGAAAGTTTAGATAAAGATGTTAAACTAATTAACCTTTGACCCATCTATTTTTATTATTTTTTTTATTAATATCTATCCAGGTTAAGGAAACAAAATATGGTTTCAACTATAAAAAAAAAAAAAAAAAAGAATCAAAATTGCCTAATTAATATGAACCTTTTGTACCTGAAGATAAAAAATGAAATTTGGCAAAATTTTGACCCTTTTTGGTTTTTTCATAATTGTAAATAAAGTATACATTTAATTAAATTGTATAATTATACAAGAAAATTTATGAGTTCCAAAATTCCTTATTTTGTGATTGAGACAAACCCCATCTGCCAAATTAATTTCAATCATAATTGCCGCATTAGAGTTTTTTTGTTGAAAAAAAAAAAAGGCTAGATAACTTGCAAAGTATCCCTTCTTTATACACATTAGGTCCGTGTATAGATAGATACGGTTCTTTGTCTGTTATTAAGGATTTAGATATTTATTCGGATTTTTATTTGTCTATTTTTTTAAATGAAATTTGATTTAGTGATAAGTAAAAGGTTTTAAGTTTAAATCATACTGTATATTGATTTAGTTATTTAATTGTATTTTAGTTTGCTAATATTAATTTGATATGATGTAATTAACTAATTATAGCAACTGTTGGGATGCGGATCTAATCACATTTTGCAGCAGGTTATTTAATGTGTATATTTTCTACCTAGTTATATCGATTGATCTGACCAAATTGAATAGCATATTTTTTAGATTTGCAGTCGGAGGAAATTCATGTGGAAATAAATTGCTTCACTAAGAATATAATTAAGGTGTACTCGAATTGATTTAAATTAATATTTTGAGAATTTTGAATTTAAATTTAATTTTTAATTTATAATTTAAAGTTTGATTCAAATTTAATTAAATTTTAAATTTAATTTTTATTTAAAATAAATATTGAATTAATCAAATTCAATTGATTATTATTTTTTTATTAAATAAAAAATAAATTTAATTTTTATATTTAATTTTAAACTTAACTATTTATATTAAACTCAAACTCAAGTTTATATATACATATAATATTAAAATATTTTTTTATTAAAATAATAAAAATTAAAATTAAAATATAAAATTTCGATTAAACTTCATAACTATTTAAATTATATATTTAAAAATTTAAACTTAATTCGCCCAATTAATCAAATTATTTGATCACGAACTTGACTCGTCAATGTTGATTAGGAAAACAGCTTCAGCAACAGAAACGAAACACAAAAAGACTCAAATCACTCAATTGGGTCCAAAATGTGCTATAAAGTAGAGATTTCCGCTAACTGTCCGGGCCCACTCGAAACTCTTCATCCACACCGTCAACCTCAACAGATGAATCATTACTCAAGTCAAGAAGAAACTCACAGCTCTCTCCTTACTCGTCCTTGTAAGACTCAGTAACCCATTGCCAAAAAGACGACGCTGCTGTCCCGTTAAAACAACCCCACGCGCCCGCAAGTACTATCAAATTCACTCGCCACTCATGGCGAATGCCGGGACCATTCCGATGACAGGCCCTCAATCGACGCCGGGACGAGGAGCCCAGTCACAACCGCCAATAGCAACGCCCGCGTTCCTCTCACGCCTCGCATCCTCGATCCGTCAGGGACTCTCGCAACGTCATCCATGGTACGAACTCATTGATCGGACGGCCATGGCGCGCACCGATAATCTAACGGACGCCTATTCCCGGATTCGCAAAAAGCTCTTCTACTTCAAAGTCAATTACATTACTCTACTCGCAGTTGTACTCGCTTTCTCTCTCCTATCTCATCCACTGTCCCTCCTCGTCCTTCTCGGCCTCCTCGCCGCTTGGGTCTTCTTGTACCTCTTCCGACCTTCGGATCAACCTCTCGTGATCTTCGGCCGTACGTTCTCCGAGCGTGAGACGCTTGGCTGGTTGGTGGTGTTGACAGTCTTCGTCGTGTTCTTGACCAGCGTTAGATAGCTCTTGATCTCCGCGCTCTTGATCGTAGTCGCTATCGTTTGCATACACGGTGCATTTAGGGTTCCAGAGGACTTATTCTTAGACGATCAGGAGCCTGCAAACTCGGGATTCTTCTCCTTCCTCGGAGGCGCCGCCTCCTCCGCTGCTGCAGCGTTGGATAGCTCTTGATCTCCGCGCGCTTGATCGTAGTCGCTATCGTTTGCATACACGGTGCATTTAGGGTTCCAGAGGACTTATTCTTAGACGATCAGGAGCCTGCAAACTCGGGATTCTTCTCCTTCCTCGAAGGCGCCGCCTCCTCCGCTGCTGCTGCGGCGGCCCCTGCTATTGCATCACGCGTATGACCAACAAATCTATCAAGCAGCACGTGCATATATATACATATATTTTTAGCTTCGTTTACAGTAAATCAAAAATGATTCACTGTCTTCATGGTAGATTAAAATATTCAATTGTAGCTTTACTGTCTTGTTTGGTTTCAGATTTGGATCTTGACTTGGATTAAGAGTTAGATCTTATTGTGTTTCTTGATTTGGATGTTGCATTATTTGCCACTTCAAGATTTGAGTTTAATGATATTTAGGTGTAGTTTTAATTCGTGAACTGTTTAATTGTATTATTATTTATTTGTTGGTGTGGAGCTGACCACAAGGGGAAACATCCTGAAAACATAATAAAAAGAGAACAGTCAAGGCGTTTGTGTTCCGGCGTTCAAGTCGGAGTTTGGCCTAGAAAAGGGAAGGAGTAAAAGCTTAAAGCTTAAGAATGCTAGATAGATTAAAAATACTCAAATGGGATTATTTATACATGTGTGATGGATTTTGAACCTAGATAAGCTAACTTCAAAGGTCCAAGCTAAATTAGCTGTTAATTTAACACTCAAGATGTAACAAGTTGGCATACTGAGGTATTAGCTAGTGGGTTGCTGAGATGACTGAGTTGATGTGGATCATGATATTTTAACACTAAAATTCTCCTAACAGTGTTCTTCTGTTTATTATGAAGGGTTTATGCTGTTGCTAAAGAAAGTGAAGGTTTAGGATTGAAGGAACTCAAATTTGGTGCTTTTGTGCTTCATTTGATTGAAATAAGTTGGGATAAGCTAGTGGTTGCTGCTTAAAAATTCAATGGTGTATTGATTCTAGTTTACAAGAATGTTGGGCATTCAATAGCTTGGTTGGTTAACATCATGGTAGGAATCTTCTTGTGGTTCTGTTTGGTTGGCTGCTGTATTTATGCTATTTGGAGAGGGGAAATCATCAATCGACTCTTACAAGAAATTAAATTTCTGTGGAATTAGAGTTAAAACTATTCTGTTTTTGCTTTGCCGAAAGTTGCCTAAGATTATTTGTATTGTTTATTGTGAGATAAGTGAGCCAGTGTTGTTTAAGTTTCTGTTATTTGTCTAAGATTGTTGTTGTTGTTGTTGAGGTTTTGCATGTGAGTTTATTAAGAGGAACATTTTGCTGACCCACGAGCTTTACGATATTTCAATATCATAGCATTCAAATTCACATGTCATCCCCGCATGGTAATATGGACTGGAATTCTTTGGCAAGATGCAGTAAGGTTGTTTCCTTCTGGTAACGCAAAATCAGTTGATTTGAGTTAACGTGAAGCTTTATATAAATTACACATACTCAAACTCCCAATGCGAGGTATGGCTTCACTTACCTCGGATGCCTTGACACTACCTTTGATGGATACACCACTGGTGGCTTGCAGGGGCACGATCAGACTTTGTTCTTTTGGTTCAGGACATGTCATTAATTCAAAACTGGCTGGTTTGAGTTAATGAGGAGCCTCGTATAAATCACATGCACACCCAAACTTCTAGATGGGAGAAGCCAATAAGGTTGTTTCTTGATTTACCAGATCGTTGATGTTTTGGGGCATAATTAATGCAACTTTAAACATTATCTTGAAGAGATTACCTGCCACAGCTCTGCAAAGTATTAACATATACATCAATTGTTGCCGATTGTACCTAACAGCTTTTACATGCTACATCTTAACCCCGCCTTGTGGAAAATGGAATGGATACACATTGAAAGTTAACTGCATCATTAACTTTGAGCATCATGATTGTGGAAAATGGAAATGGATACCACAGATAATCAGCAATGTCGAAGTCACCGGCCTGATGTTTAAGTGTTGATTCTACCTTAGATAAATGGTCATGAATATATCTCCATTGGAATAAGGAGGGTTCACCGAGGCCGAGGATTGAAAGAAGAGTTCTCCTGTCAAACAGGGAGGTATAGGACGTCCGGAACACCCTGTCAAATGGGCACAATTACAAATCCGGATCTATGACAATTGGCCTTAACCCGTATGGACTACTGAATAGCCTGTGCCATTGACGATGATGGATTTCTTGGAGGCTAAATTTAGAGGCCCTGTCTTCACAAAATCTAACCTGAATCCTGATGACGATGACTATCTTCCATATCCCTTGTCCGTTATCAATCTGGATAGCTTAAGCTTAATGAAACTCCAACCCATCGTTAACAGCAAAAGGTGAATTCTCGCGTGTTCTTTTCTTCCCCTGTTCAGCGTAAAATCTCTAACAACATCGACCAATCCAACGGGTGTATATCAAAGAAGAAACCCTTTACATACTTTCCAAGGATGACATCAATCGATCCCATTTTGTCGGATAGTAAAGTAATTCACTGTTGAGAAAATGACATGTCATCTTAACCTTGCATCGCAAACTAAAAAATTAATCCCCCACACCTTGAAAAAGCCAGAAGCCTTGGCACGGGTACCAAGGTCGCTCCTTTTATAAAAGGCTAACCACCTTTTTTGTAACTTTGTGGGATATAATCCATTTGTAAAACCAAAACCCTTATTGAAGTTGATGTTGAGCACTTGAGCCCAGACATTATTAAGAGTATATCAATCCTTTTGACGGGATTTTGAATGGGGGATTTCGTCACTGCCTCTAAATTATTTGTTTGGTGAAACTTTGCTTTTTTGTCCAAGTAGTTAGTAGTTCAAAAAAGATAAAAAAAAAAGTCGACCAATTAGGTGTTCCAATTTGTAGCATCCAATCAGAGAGTGGTTGGGGCGTTGCATTTCCATGTGTTCATTGGTTTTTGGCCTCTTCCTCTTCTACTTTCATTTCATTATGTTCAATTGCTTTCACCATTGCTGCTAATAGCTTGGAATCCAAGTTGTTCAAGAAGGACCAATCTCTTGAGATACAAAACCTTTTCTTTTTACTTTTAACAACTTTTCTAATATGCTAAAATGGAGAGAGTATTGCATTACCATAATCTTGCTAGTGTTTATATTGGGAACCTGCATCTTTGCAGCCCTTGTATGCTTAATTCTATTGAATTTTAGTAATTTCAACTTTCCTTTTCAGTTCCTCCAGGACTGAAACCGAAAATTACCATGGATATTGAAACATTCAATTATGATATATGAATGATCAACTCCCAAATAGCAATTTCCTTTAACCATCCATCACTGTCCGGATAATTTATCAGATAGTACATTCCAAGTTTAATTCTAGCTAAAATTTTTACAGAACAGAATGCTGTGGTCTATTTGATCAGATATGATTGAAATGATGGAATTAAACATTCCATAAGTCGCAACCAACTATAACTACCTGTGAAAATGAAAAGCAAAGTGGGAAAAGTTAGATGAAAGAGCAAAGCAGAAGGAAAATGTGAAAAGGAACCTTCAGCTCTTCCATTAATTTTTCATTTCCTTTCATTACTTATAACAACCTTCTTATGTACCTTTATTTTCTTCTTAAGATTCTGAAAGGTCAGTAACAAACTTTACCAACTTTGTTAATTGTTCCTTCAATTTTGTTCACCTATCTAATCCTAATCCTCTCTCTCTCTCTCTCTGTTGACTTGCTTCTATTGAAAGAGACTAACCGTTGTCACTCAAACTTGTTTGGACTTTGGCATTGCTGTTGTTTCTCAGTTGCAGCTATTCATGCCTCTGAACAAATGAATTAAGTAGCCCCCAAGCATAAATAATTTTTTCTTGTTTTTTAAGAAATTTTCTTCAATTTCTTATAGCCTCTGATCTCTGTCATGGCCAATAGCACAGGATTTGATCTTGATTAACTTATAGCATTGACTAATACTAAAGTCTTGACATTAGCCAAAAACTTTATTTCTTTTACGTAGTCTGTAACACATTAGTGCACTTGGTTTCATCACTAATTTTAATTAATTCTTCCCATTATTTTGTATCTCTATCATATATCAGCTTATTTCTTCTTACCCTAGTTTGACAGTGACAGTTCCCAACATTGCTGTCTTTGACAGATGCTCCAGCATAACTAACCAATGTCATCTCTAGCAATTTCTGACAAATTATGTTATGTTATTTCCATTACAACTTGGGGAAAGTATTTCTTTTGGGTAAGTGAAGGATGAAACAACCAAATGTACTCATTTTTCACTGCAAAATTGTTGGTGATCAAAATAAAAGGTGCTTCTTTTTTCATGAGACATTTTCCTTTGGTGGGTACCTACTAAACAGGAAAGAAGAGAAAAATTGAACCAGGTTGTCCCTTGCCATTTTATGCATGGTTCCTTATTTTGCAATATTCCCATTCTTCTTTACTACTAATTGTATGCATCCGAACGCGTACTATATCTAATACTCATCTCAACTCCAAATATCAGTTTTTTCAGTAGAGATTTAAGATCAAATTTTAATCAAACATGAACAACACGAGCAAATAATAATCTAATTAATATTAAGAAATGAGTAGTTAGACTCAACCAAAATCCCTCTTTTAATATCATACATAATAATCTAATATTAATTGCCACCATAAAAAGTTTGACAGTGTACAATAGTCTTTTCTTTGAAAGAAAGACTAACTATATATAGATTCAATCACTAAACTAATCGATTCAGTCCTTGCTTGTTAAATGCCAATTCTAGGTGAGAAACAGATCAAAAGTCTTCACCTGACTCCATCAAGAGGGCTGATCTTCAATGACTGACAGATTCAATAAATTATAAATTAATTTGAAGAGTTAGTCATTTCAGGAAATTTATTAAAACAGCCTGTCAGCTTTTAAGTCTTTGGACCATGGACTTCCAAGATGTTAAATTTCATTTTTCACTATTCTAAGGAAAACGTCTTGTTTGATTAATGTAAACAGCAATGCCCTCAATCCCAATGGCAACATCACATTGATTCCCTCCCGTCTATGCAAGCTGAGTTCAAAGAAAACGATATGTTTCCTGTTTACAAATGTTGAAGCTTTTCAAGCTTTAGGTAGTGTTGAAGTTTAGTGTTCACAGAAATTTCTTTGTTTGGCTAGAAAATAATGGTTTTTACTATCAATCTTAATTTGATGTGTACATCAAGAATAGTATACATGTAAAATCCAAGCATCAGCTTATAATAATTATTTAACTAATTAAAATCTTTACAGGAACAAGATAGTTTGTTGCCCTACAAAATCTGGTAATAATAATGATTTGCTGAAAATCAACCCCCAAAGATCCTTGTGAAGCAAGCATTCAAGAAATCATTCACTTTTAATAGGCTAGTGGGTGGAACAACTCCTACAGGGTTGAACTAAGTTTGCCTGCAATACGACCATTTTGCCCCATCAAAACCTAATCCGCCAACCTCAAACAACTATCCCTCTCCTCTAATCTTCCTATAAGAAGCCTCTCCTTTCTCTGTCTCTCACTCACATTCTCTCCCTCAAGCAACTTATCACTCACACAAGAGGTTAGCTCTTGCTAATTAGCTACAGATGAAGACTTTCAAGAACTTTTCCATAATTTTCGTTGGCCTTTTCCTACTTAGTTGTTCTGCATTATTGTCCTTAGCAAATGCAGAAGTTCAACAACATCAATTTGTCGTATGTCTTCTTTACTTCATTGATCCTCTCTCCAATTTAGTTATCAAATTAGACTTAGTTGCTTTGCTTGTTTCTATATTTTTCTTTAAATGTTCTAGTGAAAGTTTCTTGTTCCTTTTAATTTATTAGCTAAATCACACATATTATCAATGAAACAGATCCAAGCAACACCAGTGAAGAGGCTGTGCAACACTCACAACACCATCACTGTTAATGGCATGTTTCCCGGGCCTACCCTGGAGGTCAGAAATGGAGACACCCTTGAAGTTAAAGTTGTCAACAAAGCCATATATAATGTCACCATTCACTGGTAATTCAATAATTGCATATTCATGCATGCATGAGATTAGCTTTCTAACATAAACGTACTTTTCCTCATGCGTGCTTATATCCTGTATATAACCCTAAGCATTAGTTCTGTGAACATATATATAGTCATGTACACATTTGTATAAGCTGGTATATAATTGATACATTTCAATTACCATAAACCACTTTCATTTACAGGCATGGTGTTCGGCAAATGAGAACCGGATGGGCTGATGGACCAGAATTCGTGACCCAGTGCCCAATTAGACCAGGAGGAAGTTACACCTACAGGTTCACAATTCAAGGACAAGAAGGAACATTGTGGTGGCATGCTCACAGTTCATGGCTTAGAGCCACTGTTTATGGAGCTCTGATCATCCGACCGAGAGAAGGAGAAACTTATCCTTTCCCTCAGCCAAAGCGTGAAACACCAATTATACTCGGTAACTAATGATTCTTAATTTTAAACAACATGATAAGTCCTAGAGAAGCAAATTAATTAAAATTAGTGTAGTGGAGAAATGATTATTATGAGGATGAATCGTATGTTGATGATTATCATCAGGTGAATGGTGGGATGCAAACCCCATCGATGTCGTGAGGGAAGCAACAAGGACAGGGGCAACTCCAAATATCTCTGATGCATACACTATCAATGGTCAACCTGGTGACTTATACAAATGCTCCAGCAATGGTTTGTTTATACAGATTTTGTTTTCCTTTTCACCCTTAGTTTAATTTACTTCATGTTCCCTAAAATTTGTATGGTTCCAGTGTGTTCCCATCGCTCTTAGGCACGCTGAATAAATTAAATGGAAATCATAGCCTGCAGTATAAATCAATTCTAAGATATAATAATGTGATATTTTCTTCTTTTAACAACCATCAAGGCCCCATTCATATTAGAAAAATTACACATGGAAACTCCCGGGCAAATCTTGGTTTTGATTAGATCTTAACCATAATAGCTGAAATTTCAAACTTTGAGAGTTTCTTATGATCTTCCGGGAAATCGACCTACTCGACTTTCTTTTTTTGCAGACACTACAATAGTTCCCATAGACTCTGGCGAGACCAACCTCCTGAGAGTTATCAATGCCGCCCTGAACCAACCGCTTTTCTTCACAGTGGCCAACCATAAGCTCACTGTTGTTGGTGCTGATGCCTCTTATACCAAACCATTCACTACTTCGGTCCTCATGCTAGGTCCTGGCCAAACCACTGATGTTCTGATCAGAGGTGACCAGCCACCGGCTAGATACTACATGGCAGCCCGTGCCTACCAAAGCGCCCAAAACGCACCCTTCGACAACACTACCACCACAGCCATTCTTGAATACAAGTCTGCCCCTTGCCCTGCCAAAAAATGCAATGCATCCAAACCAATTATGCCTTCTCTGCCAGCCTACAATGATACCAACACTGTTACAGCCTTCAGCCAAAGCTTCAGAAGTCCCCGAAAAGTCGAAGTCCCAACTGATATTGACGAAAGCCTCTTCTTCACAGTTGGTCTAGGACTCAACAACTGCCCATCAAATTTTCCTAAAAGTCGTTGTCAAGGACCAAACGGTACACGTTTCACTGCCAGCATTAACAATGTCTCATTCGTGCTCCCACAAAACTTCTCTCTGTTACAAGCTCACCAGCAGGGCATTCCAGGAGTATTCACCACGGATTTTCCAGGAAACCCTCCAGTGATATTTGATTATACTGGAAATGTGAGCCGGTCTCTCTTCCAACCTATTACAGGAACTAAACTGTACAAGTTGAAGTTCGGTTCAAGGGTACAAGTTGTGATTCAAGACACAAGTATTGTCACACCTGAGAACCACCCAATTCATCTTCACGGATACGATTTCTACATCATTGCAGAAGGTTTTGGAAACTTCAATCTTAAACAAGATACTTCTAAGTTCAATCTTATCGATCCACCTCTCAGGAACACAGTTGCAGTGCCTGTTAATGGTTGGGCAGTCATTAGATTCGTTGCTGATAATCCAGGTAAAAATAGTACCAAAAAGTCTTCAGATTATTTCAAATAGTCTTTCAATTAATCCTTCATTTGATGTTTGAATTTAAAACTCTTTTGCTACCAGGTGTATGGTTAATGCACTGTCACTTGGATGTTCACATCACTTGGGGTTTGGCCATGGCTTTCATGGTTGAGAACGGAGCTGGAGAATTACAGACTCTCCAAGCACCACCGCCAGATTTGCCTATATGTTAGGATTCAGCACCAGAAACACTACAATTATTGAAATTCATAAGCTCAATAAGATAGGTTAATTACCTTCTTTCTTCTTATTAATTATATTATTATATTTCTTGTCATTTTCTAAGCATACAGATTCAGGGTTATTTTCCCTGCAATGGGCGACTAGTTCATTCCTCTGTTTCATTGTTTCCTTTGGATAGATAAAGCGAGTGCTACAGGAGATGGTGCTGTGTTTGAAACTTTGAGTGCCATCTGATTTAGCTTTGAAACCCGCCATGTTTCTTGATTCTAGTTGTATTCTTTTCCCTACAGCTTATTGAATTATGCCTTTGCTTGTTTCTTTTTCATAATGTTGTTAGAACTACATGAGCATTTAAAGAAAGATAAATGATGAAAATTTTAAAGGATTAGCCAATGTGGATATATAACTGTTGTGACTGAAGCAATAATCACAACAATACAAAAGCAATAGACAACAATCAATAATAAAAAACACAGAAAAAATAAAGCACACCAAGATTTACGTGAAAAATCCTCCAGTATAGAGGGAAAAATCACGGACCATCAGAAAAATGTTCACTATCAAATAATATATACAAAGTTCTTCTCTAGCTAAAACTAGAGTTAATCAACAACTAGAGAAACAATTAGAGAAATCTCACCAAATAAGTGACTCAACAAATATACTCTAAATTTATTCTTAGAAAGCTTCAAACCCGATCTTCACCGTTCAGAATGTAGAACTCTGAATCATAAACCTCCTGACAAGGTTCCAACTCAATCGGACCATGGATCGACTTCCATTCAACCATCTCTCCTTTTTTTTTTTTCTCTCTGCTTTTTCTAGCTTTTTTTTCTTTCTCTACTTGGTTTTGGACACCCACTTAAAACAACCCCACCTCTTTTTTATTAAGTAGCTAGGGCTCTGTGTAAAATGAAAGATCAAGGCCCATGGCCTTTACTTGGTCCAAAACCACTTACATGAGGCTGGACCCCATTTTCCTAACAATCTCCCCTTTCAGCCCCATTAGGAGGAGATTCATCACCATAGCAGTTTCATTTGGAACTTACCTTGGCTAGGGAACTCATTTCGGCCAAGTTACTGCAAAGCTCAAGCTTTTCCTTAGGAAGTATCTTAGTCAACATATCTGCTACATTCTTATCAGTATGGACTTTCTTCAATAGCATCTATTATTCTTTAATCACTGAACGTAACCAATGATATCTAACATCAATGTGCTTTGTTCTAGCATGGTACTTGGATTCTTACTCAAATCTAAAGCACTTTGGCTATCACAAAATACCACATTCTTTCTGATTCAACCCCAATTTAAGAAGAAAACATTTCATCCAAAGCATTTCTTTACATACTTCGATTGCTGCAATATACTCAGCATCTGTAGTTGACAAAGCAACACACTTCTATAACTTAGATTGCCAAGATACAGCTCCTTTTGTAAAAGTGAACAAATACCCTGAAGTAGATTTCTTACCATTAAGATCGCCTATCATGTCAGCATCAGTAAACCCTTCTAAAACTGGTTGTGAAACTTCATAAGTCAAGCACATTTTTGAGATACCCCTCAAATATCTAAAAATCTATTTCACTGCTTCCCAGTGAACTTTTCTTGGATTAAAAAGAAATCTACTCACTATACCAACTACATGAGCAATATCAGGCTTTGTACAAATCATAAGATACATTAAAGAATTGACTATAGAATAATAAAAAATACTAAACATAGCTAGTTGCTCTTTCTTAGACACTGGACAAGATTTCTTACTTAGATGAAAATGGTTGGTAAGTGGACTGCTAACTGATTTAGCAGGTTGCATGTTGAATCTACCAAGCACTCATTCAACATATTTTTCCTGTGATAACTACAGCTTTTCAACTCTCCTATCTTGAATAATGTCTATACCAAAAATCTGCTTTGCTGGACCTAAATTTTTCATATCAAAAGACTTAGATAATTGTTCTTTCAACCTACAAACTATACTAGTATCTTATCCTACAATCAACATATCATCAACATATAATAATAGGATAATGAAGTTACCATTAAGAAATTGTTTAACATACACACAAGAATCTGCTGTTATTTTTTTATAGCTATAACTCACCATAAAAGAATCAAACTTTTTGTACCACTGTCGCGAAGCTTGTTTCAAGCTATTCAAGCTTTTCTTCAATTTGTAAATGAAGCGCTCTTTCTCTTTCACTTCAAAACCCTTAGGCTGATTCATATAAATGTCCTCCTGTAAATCATCATGCAAAAATATAGTTTTAACATCAAGTTGCTCAAGTTCAAGATTCAAACTAGCTGCTAATCTCAATACCACTCAAATAGAACTCATCTTTGCAACTGGAGCAAAAATCTCATCAAAATCGATGCTTGGTTTCTGAGAAAAACTATTTACTATCAATTGAGCTTTGTACCTCACTAGTTTGTCACCATCTTTTTTCAACTTGAACACCCATTTATTTTTTAATGACCTCTTCCCTGTTGAAAGTTTAACAAAATCATAAGTATCATTCTTTCGTAATGACTTCATTTCTTCTTTCATTGCTTTTAACCAGTGCTTTTTATCCGGAGTAACTTGTACATCTTAAAAGTTTTCTGGCTCCCTTTCACTGATAACTAAAATAAAATTTAAACTTGGATACCTAGTAGATGGCTTGCACTCTCTAGTAGATCTCTTGGGCTAATAGTCTACATCACTTGATGCCAAAGATAGCTCCTCCTGCTCAACACTCTCAGGTAGAGAGGATTACTCCTCCTGCTCAAAACTAATTGCATCTGGCTTATCACCAACTATGGCTGGTTCATTCATATTTTTAAGTTCTGTTTCTTGCTCATTTTCACCATCTGTGGCTCTTTCCTATGGAATTCCTGTCAGTGTTGAAATATCACACTCAACAGTAACCCGTGTAGTCTTCTCATTTTTTTAAAGGTTTGCTATGATTTTTTTTCATGAAAGATCACATCTCTACTTCTGACTGTTTTTTTCTTTACTGGATCCCATACCCTGTAACCAAATTCCTCATCACCATATCCTACAAACACACACTATGTAGCTTTACTGTCAAGCTTTAATTTCTACTTTTTTGGTACATGCATGAATGCTTTACACCTAAAAATTTTCAAGTGAAAGTATGAAGTATCTTTTTCTGGCCACACTCTTTCTAGAATGTCAAAGCCCAAAGGAACTATGGTGATCTGTTAAGTAAATAATAAGCCGTGTTAACTGTTTCACCCCAGAATGGCTTTGGTAATTTTGCCATCCTCAACATACATCTGACTTTTTTCATAATGGTACGATTCATTATTTTAGCTATACCATTATACTACGGTGTTTCAGATTCTGTCATCTCATACCTGATCTCATACTTTGAACAATACTCTTCAAAGCCTTTAGATATGTATTCCTCATCATTATCAGTTCGAATACACTTCAAAGATAACCCTGTCATCCTTTCAACCATGGCATAAAATTTTTAAAAATACTGCAGTACTTGACTTTTGTATTTCAACATATATACCCAAGTCTTACGTGAAACATCATTAATAAAAGTAATAAAATATTTGTTACCACCTAATGACTTAACCTCAATGGGACCACATACGTCAAAATAAATTAATTTCAATCTATTTTTTTTTTTGAAAACTTTTACGAAAAGAAACTCTATGATACTTACCAAACAAATAATAATCATATGAATTGAGAGACATACCTTTGGTCAAAGGAATAAGAGACTATCTTGCCAAAACCTATAACCTATTTTCACTCATGTATGCCAACCTTTTATGCCACAAGTTTGCTGAAGCATCATTTTCAACGATATTTACTTGGTTACTATTCAATTACATCCATGTCTTATATATTGTGCAGCATAGTTTTTCCCTTGTAACTACCATAGATCCTTTGAGAAGCTTCTACTGTCCATTCTTTTATCGACTTTCATATCTTTCTTTATCAAGAACATTAATAGTAAGCAAGTTCATTCTCATATCTAGAATGTGTCTGACATCCCTCAAAGTCAACATGCAGTTTGTATTAGTTTGTATAAAAATATCACCAATCTCAACAATCTACGACACACTCTTGTTTCTCATCTTGATACAACCAAAGTCTCTTGCTTTGTAAGTTGTAAACAACTTTCTCTTAAGAACACAATGATATGTCGCTTCTATGTCAACTATCCACTCAATACCGAGATCACTAACATGATTACAATCATCATATGTACAAATCAAAGTAACTGAATCACTATCTGAATTCACTGCTATAAAATTACCATCATCTGAACTCTTACTTTTCTCATTTTTTCGCTCTTGCTTTAAAATTTTACAGTTTCATTTTATATGACCTACCTTACTACAATAGAAACACTTCACTTTACCTCTAGACTTGGATCCATGTTTAAACTTACCATGACCTTTTGAGTCCTGACCTCTGTCGATGTTTTTATCCCTGTTCTCTGTGACCAGAGCTTGATTTCTAGAGTCTACATCTTTTCGTCTTGCTTCTTCATTAAGCACACTTCCTTTACCATCTTCAATATCACCTTATAATCAAGAGCTAAATTAAGAATAATCATAACTAGAGTATTTCAGCTATCTGGCAATGAACCCAAAAAAAAATAACACCTTCATTTCATCATCCATCTTAAGCTCTATAGTGTCATCCGATTAAATATATCTTGAAAATCACTCAAGTACTCTGTAATAGATCATCCATCCCTGTACTGTAAAGTTACAAGCTTTTTAACAAGCATAATTTTATTCATACCTATTTTTTTCTCATACAATGCTACCAATTTTTTTCAAATAATGTGAGCATCTGATTCATGTGCTACATGATGAATACATTGATATCAACCTATTTTTTTATTGTAGCCAGCATCTTTCTACTAGCTTTTTTCAGCTTTCATCTTTCATATCTGTTGGTTTAGTCGAATCACCTAATACTAGCTCATACAAATCTTTGCAGTATAGATGATCTTCCATCATAGGCTTTCAAATTGAATAATTCGATGCTGTCAATTTTATCATGAAACCTGTATAACCCTCCATGATCTCAAACAGAATTTACTTTTATCTTAGGTTACTTTTGTATCGATGTCTCAAAATAACTCTCTCTCTAATACCACTTGTTACACCTGAAGCAATAATCACAATAATACAGAAGCAATAGACAATAATCAATAATAAAAAATATAAAAAAAAATAAAGCACACCAAAATTTATGTGAAAAACCCTTCAGTGTAGAGGAAAAAATTTATGGACCATCAAAAAAATCTTCACTATCAAATAATAGGTATACAAAATTTTTTTCTAGCTAAAACTAGAGCTAA